AAGTAAAAAGGACGTCGTGATGAACAAGGGATTATAACCTTTAAACATGTTTGTGTCACCGCGCCCTTACAAGTTGCACACGCATTGATGCAATGAATATATCACGTCGCGGTCTGCTGTTCGCTTGCAAGTTTCAGATTTACTGCAATAAACCCGTCCTTGGGTATGAATTAGAACATCAATGGAAAGAAGTGTGTTTTTTCTTCGAGTAAAAAAAGGTGTAAATAACAACAAGACAAAGCTACAATGGCTTTTGCAGAAATAAAACTGCTAGTTCTAGAAGCTTCCGCTGTGTAATGGTTTAGCACACTCCCAAAGTGGCAATTGAAACAATGGAGTAAGTTGCTTAAAACCCTCTGCATCTGTCCACCCAGTGGTAGCGCAGCTCGTCGATTGGCAAAATTGTGTACGGTTGGGTACTCTCACCGCTTCCAAGACATTTGGCCAACATGGAGAAGTAGGCCAAATACCCTTCAGAGGCTCTATCCAGAGTTCTCAATCTCTCTCGTGGATACCCTTCATCCAACAGTTGTGTGAGCAAGTAATTGCAGGGCTGCACGTTTATCCTGTCATAGTTAAATGGAATGTGTTTACTGTCATGCGTTCGAGTGCAATGCAGCAGCGATGCCCTTGTGGGGAATCCTGAATTGTCCTCAGGGGAGGGGAACCAAAGCTGCTGCCAGATAATGGAATCCTTTAGATGCCGATTAACGTTCACCTGGATAAATACGTGTAAACGTTAGCCCTTCTCTCAAAGTACTGCAGTTACATTTCGTGGGATCATTAGCGAAGAAGCACGCTATTCTTTAAGAGATCACCTCTCAACACAATGTTCAAGTCATCAGCCCTGAGAAAACCTACGTCGATTCCCTCATTGTTCGCCATTTCATCGTCTCCGCATTCAACCTCATGAATTAAAACCTGCAAGAAAAATCATGCAAAGCCACTTGTAGAAGATAAAACGTAACTATGTGGATAAACTACTACATCTCACTCCTGTGACATGAGGATCAGTCAAGTTGGCGAATGTCCATAAAGCCCCAAATTGATCATGGTCCACTATCACCCACCACACCCTCCATCAATACTGGAAACTTTAAAAACCACCACACCACTTGGGGCTTGAGATACCGCATGCTTGCTCCCACGTGTTTTTATCAATTTGCGTGTGTTTCATTTTACGGCACCTCGTTTGTTAGTTGTGCAATATTCTTTAAAGACACTGTTACTCGTTCTCTGTAATATTGATGCTGTGCTCACGCACCACGGATTCCCTTGTAAAATAGCCAGGATACTGGCTCAAAGAGATAATCCATGCGACAAATAAAATAAACTTAGAACTTGAATTGAACTTGTCTAATCAGTGCTCACTCTTTGACATAACATTTTTTTTGCCAACATTACAAACGTATTCATACTTAATTAAACTTACTCGCGATGTACATGAAACATATGCGTGACATTACACGAGTACAGGACTTCCTGTATGACAAGCTTCGTGGTTTAACAGAGTGCTGAATGTGCCAGAAATGCAAAAGGGTGGAGACTGAAGCAATGATGAATGTGACCCTTGATGTATGTTAAGACAAATAACACATGCCAAGGATGAATTGTGAAGATTATTTTGTCAATAATAAGTGCTTTGATCAAGCATATTCTGTAACAATACCCTATGTTTTCATGAATATAACTCTTTAAAAATGTTTTAGTTTTTCCCAAAACAGCTAAATAATCTATACAAATGTGGCTGTATGTGCTGACATTTGATTTTCTGGTGAGGCACAGGACTAGTTTATTTTATGATTTGTTTATGTTGACGGGAAATGATTGTCATTGGTATCCTAATATGCATGATTAAGAAACTACGTCAAAAGACATTGCGTTTCTTGTGTAGTGGAGTACGAAGGTGCGTTGTGGAAACAGCTAATTATATGATCACCTGTAGCGAAGGCGAATACAGTGCAGGTTATGTTGGGGCAATTAAGCTGAGTGAGCCGTGGACGGCTGTGATTGGTTGGTGCTGTTGCCAGGGCCGGAGGGGCGTCTGGAAGTCTGGCGAGAATCAGGTGACGGTCATGCGGAGAGCCGTTGGGACTTGGGTTAATTAATTGGGGGTGTAATGAGAGCGGGTATAAGAGCGGGAGTCGGAGTCAACAAGGGGGGGGGGGGGGGTTGAAGAGCGGAGAGCTTGGAGATGGGTTGAAGTTGGAGAGCTTGGGAGAGTTGGAGTTTGGAGAGCTTGGAGTCAACAGGGGGGAATTGAAGTGTGGAGAGTTTGGAAGACAGAGTTTGAGAGACAGAGCTTGGAAGACAGAGTTTGAGAGACAGATTTTGGAAGACAGAGTTTGAGAGACAGAGCTTGGAAGACAGAGTTTGAGAGAGTTGGAGTTAAGAGTTGAAGGGTGGAGTTGCTGAGTGCAAAGACGCTGTGTGTGAAGTCGCTGTGTGCGAAGATGTTGTGTGTGAAGACGCTGTGTGCGGAGTTGCTGAGTGCGGAGTCGCTGAGTGTGGAGTCGCCGAGTGCGAAGTCGCTGAGTGAGGAAGTTGAAGGAGGAGAGAGCATAGTGACGGTGATAGCGGAGACGAAGAAGTTAGCGGCGGAATAAACGAAGTAATCGTGGGGAGTGGAGAGACAAAGGTGGCGAGCGAGTCGAGTGAAGCATGGCGAGCGAGCCGTGGCGACCTGGACACTGTGGAATGTGGAGGACATGCTGAGAGTTGTAAATAAAGCGGTGTTCGGAGAAAGACAGAAGTTGTCCGAGTGTATGTTTCTTCCGGTCACGTTTGATAACTATGCACGTATTGTTTGTGTAATTGTGGTTGTTCTCGCGTGAGATGTGATTGATAGTGGATGAATGGCTAACAAGTTTAGTCATGTTTGATAGAGTCGTGAACATGTTTTTCCTCATCACTGTCAAAAATATTTCAACATAAACATACAAGGTCGGTTACAAATGATCTGAGCCTAACAGATTTAAAAAAGTACATTCACAGATGAGAGCCACAATTGTTTTCAACATTCTAAATTTGAATCTTTCGTGACTGCAAGGATTCATACTCTTTGGTTCTTTCGGTAAAGTCACGTAGGTAAAATAAAATAAAACAATTAAATCACGAGATTTCGGAGGCAACACAAGCTTCCGTCTTAAGGTGGAACAGTCACAGCAAGATCGCTGCATCTTGCTGTGACTGTTCCACCTGACCATAACTCACTTCCCCCCCTCCCCTCGCCGTTGCACCATCCTGCACTAGCTAGCTTGGTGAAGTGTGGTGAAGTATGGTCAAAGAACCCTTCGACTGATATACCACGTGCAGGGCTTTACCCAGCAGTGGATTAATTAAGTTAATGGATTTACATTTAAAATGTATATAAATCCTGGGGAGCAGTGGTACGGCAGTTAGCATACTGCACAAGTGACCTGACCTAAGTTCAATTCCTGGCCACAGCCAAGATCAGTGGTGAGTAATATCTTAACCGGTAATGGGCCTCCCCAAATTCACCAATGTACTCTAATCAAATTGGTGAGGTATAGTCAACAATCAATAATTAACTGACACAGCATGGGAAGACCTTCATCGGGAATTGTATTGACAAAATACTTCAGACTTTATAAGGTAAACATATTTTTTTGTAGAAGGGTGACCAGACTGCTGTAAATATTCTCACGATGGCTTTGAAACAGCAACTAATACATTTTACATTTTAGGAAGGTGGTGGTGTGGACTTATTGGAATGACTGAGGTGAAATAATAGTGGTAATCTTGAGCACCCAATGGCACAAGCAACTTGTTACCAAAAACCCATGACAGTCACTGGCTGGAGACTATAATATAGAGCCTCGGCTGCTTCTAAACAATGTTGTCAAGCTGTGTGTGTGTGTACCTGTCACTCCTCAGGTATTTTTGCGAAATTAAAGGTACAATTACCCTTTTTTTTCACAAAATAAGTGACTATTTTTCAAATGTACGAGTATGGCGGCCACTAAAGCAAATAGGCACGCGACTGACTCAAACAATGTGGTGGGTCCGTGCCTTAATTGACGTACATGCCGCCGGCTATGCTTTCGTGATTTTGAAGTCTGTGCCATTTGCGCACGTAATGGCATTATAAGGGAGTGTGACTGCTGGCTTAAAAAACAATTGAACTAGTATTTTTTTCTCCCTCGGGTTACGTAGGAATATTTATGGTTTTGGCCATTGATTCATTGGCATTTTGATATGGAATAACTGTAGTTAAGTGTGCATGGTCATCTTTTGGCGAGGCAATTAACTTGTGTGGCTCGAAACATTTAATTAAGTATTTTAATATAGGCATGGTTAAAATGTAGTAAATCAAATATTAGTTACAGGTTGAATGTGTAGCTATTTTAATAAAACAAACCCTGATACACTTTAACTGGCAAAGTTTTATGCTTAATGTTTTATTGAAAGATGTGTTAGTTAAAATAATACGTTTATTACAATTGTAAGTTTCAAATCCGCTTTTTAATTATGGATCATATACTCACTGATAATAAATTATATTCTACACATTTAAGGTCAGGTCAGTGATACAGATTTTTTCACATTTTAAAACTACATCGGAAAAGGTCTTACGAATGAATTCTACTTATGTGTGCAACATGTTACACTCCTATATAGTGTTACCATAGCATAAGATACAAACGCACTATGAAATATGTTGGATTTAAAGCTTTCTTGACTGCTAGGATCCATACTCTTTGGTTCTATTGGGTAAAGTCACGTAGGTGAAAATAAAATACGTGACTTTACCCAATAGAACCAAAGAGTATGAAATATGTTGTGGGAGTAAAAATATATTTAAATATTACTGTAAGAATTTGTGGTACATGACGACAGGGAGTTTACTTGAGTGATGGGATAGTCAAGATAGAAATGAGTCAGCCGCCATAGCCTAAGGCGACTGAATTTTCTGCATGCGGTACAGCAAAGAGACGCACCTTAATGTTAGGGTTGAACAGGTCTTGGTATATAAAGACGCAGACTGTAGTAGCAAGTCAATCAGTCGGTGCCAATTCCTTTATTTTACAATGGGGCTCAGACTGATTTTGCAGCTATCGTTGTGCATGCTGAGTGTTGCACGTAAGTGACATGTTATTGTACTTTTTGCATTGACATTGAGACATTTTACTTTTGAACTGAATGGTTGCGAGTCATTTATCGACATATGCACGCAATAAATGTGTAGTTACCTGTACTTAGTTCGGTTTGATAATATATTGTAAGTTTTGGTTTTATGTCCGTTTTCATGTCTGTGATTTGGGTCTATACAAAATCGAAATATGCCTCTTGAAGTGTAAAACAATGTAATGTGATGCAGTATTTCGTGCAATGCTTACTTTATAGCACTATTGTCTATTAAAAAAGACATACCTTTCAAGCAAAACCCGAGCCATACCTATCTTCTCTTGAAACAATTCTTGCCACCGACTTTTCCTATTATATTACTTTATTTTTGAAAATTTTCAAATTATAGTTCTTATTTTAAGATGTTTCCACAGGCTACCAACCATGTGATTAACATCTTTACAACACCCAGTTGAAAAATATCTCTCTATCTGGAGTACGCAGTGTGGTTTAGTTAAGCGACGAGTCTATTGCATTGGTTATCACCGTTGTACGGTATAGTATGCAATGAGGTTTAGTCAAGTGATAAGTCTACTCGTAGGTTATCATCATTGTACGGTATAGTATGCAATGGGTTTTGGTTAAGCGTTGAGTCTACTGCATAAGTTATCACCGTTGTCCGGTGTAGTATGCAATGTTTAGTTAAGCGATAAGTCTACTGCGTAGGTGCTCGCTGTTGTATGGTATGATATGAAATGGGGCTTAGTTAAACGATAAGTCTACTGCGTAGGTGCTCGCTGTTGTATGGTATGATATGAAATGGGGCTTAGTTAAACGATAAGTCTACTGCGTAGGTGCTCGCTGTTGCAGCGCGTATCGATGTGTTTTTGGGTTGTATCGTGCTGTGTTTTGTCTGATGTCCGACGTTTCGAGCAAAAACGTTGGACATCGTGCCATACAATACGCGGTACAGCCAGAAAACACATTGGCGAGCTAAAAAAGTAAGCGTGCGTGTTCGGCAAAAACTTGCAACCGGTGTTTTGTCTTCTTTTCCAAGGATCACAGCAAGCCGTCTGCACCACTTGGGGAGGGGGATTCTTCAAGACGTTTGATGAAGCATTTTTTAAATTCAGCTCCAACTGTAGCTACATGTTCTTTCAGGACTGCAGAAGTTCATACGAAGAGTTCAACATCAAGATAAGCCATGGGGCAAACGAACAGTTCTCCGAAATTTTATTCAAAATTGACACTGATGTTGCACAATTTGCCAATGGGAAGGTCTCGTTTAATAATCGCATGTAAGTACAAAGAAATAGCCATTGTTTGTAAATGTCAAGTACCAAATGTAAAGGGTCACGTTATTCACAAACCACTTTTTTTGTAACTCATTGGAGAAAACAGAATTAATGTTAAATACTTTCCTAAATGTTATACTTTTGTCTAGACTAGTTCAGTAATTTTATTAAACATATATTAAACATAGTAAACCACTGTAGTCTGCGCTTCTTAAATGGAGGAATATCAAATCTACATGAACTCTTCTGAAGGCCTCTCGTGGCTAGCAGACCTAAACATTGGCATTTAATACCTGAACATGTTTCTCAACGCAAGAATTGAATGACTCGTAGACGTTCACATTTGTTGACATATCTCGACGTAGAGTTCACAACCCCTTTTGTGAAACACACTTCATAATTGTTGAAATGTTGAACATTACAGCAAAATTCTGTTAGCAACTTGAACTGGTAACTCCGTGCTTTTGGTTTGTTTTCACTTGGCCATGTTTTATTGACACAAATGAAATGTTTCCCAGATTGACGCTACCCTTCAGCAACAACAAGATTCTCATCCAAACCCATGGCAGTGGTGTGAAACTGGCTTTCAGGCAACTCGAGATATCCGCTTACTTGAATGATGACGCCTTCACGGTAAATCCACCATTTTCAGAACGTCTTCTTGCATGCTGCATTCTGGTTTGAAGTACAACTTGGTACATCCACGATCGTCCCTGTGCTCTAAATGCTATAGTCCCTGTGTGATTAAATGCTAAAAGAAATCCGGTGTTGTCTTCTTGTAGGTGGTGGCTGGGGACGAATTCCGCCAACAGCTGTGTGGCTTGTGTGGCAACTTCGATGGCTCTTCGACTGTGACAACTTCATATAGTAAGACAGCTTGCACCGGTCAATGAGACTACATCACTCCAATCCTCAGATCAATCCACTGGCTCCCAACCAAATCCCGATTTTACCACATGCTCTAAGATTGTCCTCTTATTTAAATCCTGAGTCAACATCACATGATAAAATTGCCCTCACCCCTGCCTGCCTCTCCCCTGTAATCTACTCCCGTCACATGTGCGCTCAACTCCAGGATTTGAGGCCTTCTCTGAACACCTTCAGCTTACCTCTGCTCACCCGGAGGTCACTCCTTCTCTGCTGCTGCCTCCGTTGTCTGGCATTTCCTCGCACTGGCGATATGTTCTGCTGATTTGCTGCCCCTGTTCAAGCCCAGACTCAAGATGCTCCTTTCCTTCTCTGCCTATGAAGTACTATTCTTTGTGAAGTGTTCTCAATTGCACCTTAACTTAAAAAAATATATCACTTTCCTTTGTGTTTGTCACTGTAAAGCACATGACTCTCTATTTTGGGCATAATATAAATATTCAGTTTTATTTTGATGCTCTCTCTACATATATACAAATGATGTTTGTAACAATAATAATTTGTCCCATTGTCAGCCATGATAACAATTGTAAATGATGGGTATACTATACATGATTAGTATAAATTTCAGCCATGGGTTTAGATTGGTTTAGATTCAACATACATTACAGGAATTGACGTGGGCTAACTAATGCACCCATTGTTAGCTGCCCGATTTGTAAATATTATTGAAGAAATATGACGAGTTTGCAATAATTAAATAATTAACTCGTTGTGCTTATATATTTATTAGCATTGCATAACTGGGCAAGAAACATGTTCCTACAGAGTGCTATGACGCCCTGTTTCGTACCAAATACCAAATGAGTAATGCATCATTGCACATTGTAAATAACAATTATATTTTGTATCCATCTGCCTTATTACATTAGGTTTAAAATAAAATATCTCAATGCAAGACACCATCATGAAAATATCACACTTAGCAGCTGAATTTCTTATAAGGCATTAACAATGTTTTTCTTTTATATTGTGAAAAAAACGTGGGCACGTTATATCGCGATGCAAGACTCACTCAAACCCGGTCGCACAATTCGCGAGCAATATTCCCGACACGACTGAACCATATAAAAGAAGGTGGAATAAAAGATAGGGGAAAGGAGAGACATTAACAATGTTAATATGTTGCCACAATGTGTTTCTTCATACAGCACTCCCAGCCATCCAGCAATATTTAATCCAGCCCAAGAGTTCTGGGAAATGCACTGCAGTGGTTACATCGTCCTGCAAGGATGAGGTAAACATTCGTATCTACCAATTGCAGGATCTTTGCACTTTCTCCCCACAACCCCAACAATAGGAAACATTTTAAATGTGTAAACAGAGGAGTTTTTTTTAAGCTTGATGGCTTTCCACCAAACATATTTTGTAGCGCAAACCATTGGCTAGGAACAGCATACATATATTTTTTTGGGTGGAAGTGTGAAAGCTTTCTATTCCAAAATAATAAAAAAATAAGTGCATAAATTGTTTAACTTATATTGATTATATAAAACAATAATATTTCTTGTTTATGTTGTTTGATGTTGATGTACTGTATTTATAACATATCTTAATGAGGACATACTACAGTGCTAAGCTATGACTTAATTTTGCATCAATGCAATTGCTTTCATAATTTTTGCCTTTATGGCTACGCTGATATACAATTATAATCGCAGGACTTCGTTATTAATACAGTAAATGTAACCCAAGATAAATGAAATAAAATGTGCCTCCCCCTTCCCCACCCCCTGACTCTCACCATTGATTCCTCCACCCCAAAAAAACCCGCCACAGAAAATCCAAACATTTTGCAGGCGAACTCTGAATGGGATAGGCTCGTGTGGCCTGAACCAGGAGGGCTATGCTGCCATGTGTGCCATCGAGAAATGCCAGTGTGGTAGTGCCACCACTTGCGGATGCGCTGCCTTGTCAGCTTACTCCAGGGAGTGCAGCCTTCAGTACAAGCCACTGCCGAATTGGCGCTCAAGCCAGATGTGCCGTATGTACCATTTTTCAATTCGCACTTTGCTCAAATAGACAAATGTGAAGTTTATCAACGATGCCATCGTTGTTTACTTGCGGTTGTGATGAGTGAAGTTCAGTTGCAGTGCCAGTGTGTGAGTAATCATCAAGTTGCAATTAATTAATATTTACATTTTAATGTAATGTTGCACAATGCATGTTTTGTTCATACACACAACCGATTGTGTATTGAATGTACAGTTGCCATCGAGCCAGCTGTAATCTCTTAAATATTGACAACTCACCGTGACAAGAATGGCAGAATGACAATTACATATAACCTGACAAGCTTATGTTGCTGTAATCAAATTGGATTTGATCAAAGTCAAGCTTAATCCACCTTATTGGGTACAACACGTATTACAGTACCATATGCAGTGTGGTGTATTATTGATCGGAATCAGAACATCCTGAATACACATAAATGCATACTGTGCTATAGAGGGTTAGGATTTAAGTCGGTAGTGCATGCATGTCTTCCAATGGCGAGAACACGAGTTACATTTCCAGCCAAAGTAATTTACTCTCCAGGGCCAGTAAAAGTCATATCACTGGAGGAAAGTCAGCAATGGTTTTAGCTACTGATGTGGCCACGCTACAGCCATGTAAATGGTGCGTAAGTGTAAATATAAACAGTACGGGGCATGGAATGAAGTACATTATGTGTCTCCAACAAGCAGTCTGGAGCTGTTTCCAGTCTCAAAAGCGATGGAGGATTTCTAAATGCAGCGTCAATGTTTAGGGATTGAGCTCAAGGCGTTGGTTCCACTGTCCGACGAGAGTTTTTCACCTGTCCTGGCTTTCCCAGGAGCAGCCTCTCTTTGAGGCAGCTGTCCTGGTAAATCTCTACGTCTTCCTGGAACATAAAACGTCATGGTTTTTGTCAGCTGCGTATAACTGCACTCAGGAAAATGACTTTACATGTTGTTCTCCTCTCTTTCGGGAATGTGAGATTCTTCCCACCTTTTGTATGTCCGAGTTTTTTTGTACCTCAAAGGCAACATCGGAGTTGGATAGCTGATCCAGAACTCTTCTGCAATGTGGGTTTGAGAAAAGCCAAGCAAAAAACTTGAGTTATAATAGACCTGCTGTGGATGATCACATCCAGGCCTTGAGCTAAGAATCTGTCCTTCCTTCGCTTGCGAGCGTGACCACAGGCCCTTCCCCGTTCCTGGGAACCGCTTTTTATGAAGTGCATAGCATGTATAAATGTGGTAAGATCGTTTTTTTTTGTGTCCAATTAGCACCCCAAGATTGCCCAGGTAATCTCGAGTATCAGGAGTGTGGCTCCACCTGCCCTCCAACTTGTGCCAACATGGACCCATCCAAGTGTCAGGAACCGTGTGTTGCCGGCTGTGTCTGCCCGTCAGGTGGGTCCCAAAAAGCACACCTGTTTTTATTTGTTTTGTTGTTGTTGTTACATTTTAGTCAAGGGATTCAAAATGTCCAATGAAGCATAATTTTACTGCCATGAACTTGTGAAATTTGATATCGTCATTGACGTGGTGAAATATGATAGAACTGGGTATGCTGAGTTGTTGCTTTGCTGCCTTTGTTGGAGTCCTCACAGTATTTTTTTTTCTATTTGTGGTTATGTGAATTCTTTAAATTGTAGTGATGGTGGTGTTGAGCAGGCAATCATAACATGTAAAATTGTCATTTATACTGACAGATTTTATCTTCAGTTTATTTAAACAATAAAAAAACAACACAGCACATCAAGAGCCAATGCAATTTATAACTCTGGGCTAGTTCTGGTATATTGAGAAATGTCCAAGCTTTAACAAAATTTGATTGGTAACCGATTCGTAAAATTTGTGATGTTGGAATGAAGAGATCAAAAAATTGTGTGGCCATGCTGTCCAACAGATGACCGCCCTTTATCGATGTGCCAGTGCGCGATTGTGTCAGCTGCATTCTCAATAGTTCGTCGCTTGCACTTACTTCACAGGAACTGTGCTTTCCGCTATCAACGAAGAAACGTGTATCGCACCAGAAGAATGTAGATGCAACTACAATGGGATTACATACGATGCGTCGGATAAGATCACCATAGACTGCAATTCCTGGTAGGCATTGTGTGCTCGCTATATTGTAATGATTTAGTTTCCACTTATAACTCACAGACGACTTACAACAATGTAATGATAGAACGTGGTCGTTTGAAGACACGCGCACAAGCATGCACAGAATTCAGCGTCATCTCTTACATCACGGGTGGCCAACCTGTAACAGACCAAGAGACAACAAGTACCCGCAAGTTCTACAAAGAACCAAGTGTGTGTATATATATAAACACTTTTCATGTGTATATATTGACAGTTTTTGGCACAACACGGAAGACATTCATTATTCTTTGCTAGTGTTATATATGTTATACGTGATGCCCTTTCGATAGAGCCAGCATGTGGGTGGATTAAAGAGCCACCGCATGTGGCTCGGGAGATGCCGGTTGGCCACCACGTGTCTTGCACATACACTGTCAATGAGACACATTTGTACTATTTGGTTCTTTCGGTAAAGTCACGTAGGTAGAAAAATAAAAATAATATATCACGACGTTTCGGTCGTCCTCAGGTGGAAAAAATAATCCAGCAATGGAACTGCTGAAGCAACAGCTGAACCAACAGCAGTTCCACTGCTAGATTATTTTTCCCGCCTGAGGACGACCGCTTGTGTTCCGATCGAAACGTCGTGATTTATTTTATTTTATACCTACCGAAAGACTTTACCGAAAGAACCAAAGAGTATTATTGATTCCTGCAGTCACGGAAGCTTCAAATCAAGATTGAGACACATTTGTTTCTTTCGGAGCACAACTAATAAATAGATTCACTGTGTATTATATTGTCTTCAGTTAGACCCTAATTGTGTGTGTATTTTTTAATTTATTAAAATGCACAATTTAATCAACTTAATTTGCTTCTCTGTGAGTCAGTGGAAGTCGGTGCACACGAGTGCCTCCATTATCATAGAACATCAGCCAAGAAAGCAAACATTCTAACCATGGACCTAGAGTATGGCACTGATGATGATCTAGCTAAAGATAAATAAAACATCTTAATGTAAATGTTCCACATCGTAACCCGATAGCATTTTAGAAATATTGCTAAACTCTCTTCCCAATCCCTCTCATTGTTTGACATGAGAGTTGGGAACACTGTACAGTACTTTCGTGACATTTACCTCCAATTAGCACGGCTACGTACGGTGTGAAAGAAGTTCAACACACATCCATACAAATGAACAAAACATTCAGGCAACGTATTGGGAACAAATTAGATCTTTGCGGGGGGGGGGGGGTGAAGAGGGCTGAGGCATCTCACAGTAACTTGGTAAACGAATACAACCGTTTGCAAGTGCCACGCGACACCTTTTGTCCCTGTGCATTAACAGCACGTGCGAGGCAGGGTCATGGACCTGCACCACACGCCTCTGCCCGAAGGCCTGCTCCCTGGAGAGTGGCGCCCACTTCAACACGTTCGACTCCAGGTCTTACACTTTCCACGGAGTCTGCAGCTACTACCTGGCGGTGGTGAGTACGCCCAATGGCAACGTGCGTGCACTCCGTCAGCGTTTCTCGGTGTCTCCCCCCCCCACCCCCCCCCTTGACTGATGCGCCATCATTTGTGACCTTTTTTGAATGTCTTCACCCGAGGCCCTTTACGATCGCTCAGCCAGGAATGGTTCAAGCGAGGGGACGTGGTTGGCAAAATGTCACCGGGGAGCACTCGGTCGACATGCTCACCAGCGCGTTTGGCAAGATTAACAATTTATTAGAAACAAGCGCACGTTGCACTCAGAGCATTGGGGCAGAAGGAGAGTCGTAGCTGTACGTGCCCTGCAATCCAGCGCCGTGTGTGGGGGTTGCACAATTGATCCTTATGGCTATACCCCGGGGTAACCAAATAATAAAAACTGGCCGAGGCAATGAAATATTTTATTTCTGGGACACCATTTTTTCCAGGGATGTACTTAACTCCGCGACTGGGGTACCATTCAATGCGAAATCAGTGCTACTCCACGATGTCGAAACACAGCGAGGGCGATTGCGCTGAAACCCAGAATGCTCGTACGCACCGTAGTGGTGCATCGTGTACAGCTCGTCGAGATGAGTCAATCGCCGCATCGCCGACCATCAACAGACTACCCCGGGGTACCTCCATGAGGTTCAAATGCTGTGAAACTCCCTTCGCACGGGTGTCGAAGTCCCCATACTCTCTGGCTTGCCAGGAGAATGCGGTCCAGCGTATTCGCGCTAATCTCCCTCCATCTGTGTCATCTTGCATGGAATAGCGGTGCCTCCCTCGCACGCGTGGGTTGTCTCTGGGTGCTCACGTTTCCCCGCGCGTGTATGAACATTAGTTGGATGAAAACATGTTTACATACAGAGCAACTGCAGAGCTTGGGCAATAATTATTGGAGCCGGCTCACCACTTGCTTGCCTTCCCACATGTCTTGTGGTTCCTTGCGCCTCTGAGTCGTTCTCTCTCTTTGACGGTGAGTAAAAACTGTGCGGGTTACTAGTTGGAGTTATTATTGTTAGTAGTAGTTAGAATGCTCCGCTAAAAACCCAGTGACCTCGGTTCGATTTCCAGTCACGGATAACGTCAGTGTCGGAACCTGTCATGAGGTCTCCCACAGATTGACTCGGCTTTAAATGAGAGTCATATGTGCTGCGGTGTACAACAACCATCAACGTTGGGGAGACAAATCCGATCACATCATCTCCTCGTGCACAATGCCAGTATTAAGCACGGTTGGCTACGTGCAGTGTCAAATAAGATCAACATACATGAATAATAGTCACTAATAGCGCTTGCCCCCAATAGGCAATGAGGCGAAATAATTATGTTTTGTCAATATTTTTTAAATGAGATTAAAAGACATTGGGCAAAACTTTTTTGGGTCATTGATCCATTGGCACATTTCTTCAGTTTCTGACAATGTATTCCTTGTCTCGTGACATGTCACGGCACAATTACCTACTATAATCACCCAGAAATGTCTGTCCGTCCCGCGCGTGACGTCACTCCACATGAGGCCCACCCACCCGCGTGATGTCACTCAGCGAGGACCACCCCCCCCCCTTATTAATATTCATGAGTGGGCGGATTTTTACACTAACGCAGAGGAAGGTCGAGCTCAATTATATAACTTATTACGCAAAGTCGTTTCAAATATGACGTTTATTTCCAGAAAGTGACGGTAAAAAAATCTATCTACGCAGCACAATGCTACATCCGTGCGTGACGTCACTGCAAAAGAGCCAGCCCCCCCTTCATTAATACAGTAAAACCTTGGATTGCGAGTAACTTGGTCTGCGAGTGTTTTGCAAGACGAGCAAAATTTTTAAATAAATATTAATTTGATAAACGAGTAAGGTCTTGCAATACGAGTAGTACGTATACGCTTTGTCTGATCACAACTGATATACGAGTGCTTTGATATACGAGTGCTTTGGATTACAAACACGTTTCCGGAACAAATTATGCTCGCTATCCAAGGTTTTACTGTATTCATGCCCGCGTGGAAATGTATGCACAAGAAGGTCGCGCACTCCACATGCCGCACCCCTCCGCAATAACTATGAGAGGGTGACGTCACTCCACATTCCGCACCCCTCCACAATAACCATGAGGGGGTGACGTCACTCCACATGCCGCACCCCTCCACAATAACCATGAGGGGGTGACGTCACTCCACATGCTGCACCCCTTCCCCCAATAACCATTAGCGGGTGACGCTACTCCACATGGGGCAACCCCCCCCCCCCTCATTAATAATCATGAGCTGAACTATTTTTCTATTGAATATTTCACATTTGATGCAATCTACACGGGCAAAAACGCTCGTCAAAAGTGTTTTTTTTGTCTATTAGAATGTATATGTTTAGTATGTACCAGTAGTACTCAAGTGTTGTCAACTTGACTTCCTGTTGTATTGTGTCATCTCCACATGTGAAAACGATATGTGGAGTGAATTTTGACACGTTTGCATAATTCTGTCCAATTTCCAGGGGGATGATTGGTCCGTGGAGGTTCTACTTACATCATGCCCAACTGGACTGGTTGATCGGACTTGCTTGGATAGTATCTATTTGAAAACACCAATGGTATGTAATTAACAGTCTTACCGATAAGAAACGTATCGACTGTTATAAATATACTAGCGGGAAGTACCCAGCGTTGCCCGGTTCAAAAAGACAGACACACACATCGACTTACACACACTTACAGAGATCGACCCACACACTCAAACATCGACTTTAGCTACACACACGGAGTTACACACATATCGACGTACACGCATACAGCGACTCACACACACACATACATAGACAACCACACACATCGACCTAAACACACATATGGACTCCACACACACATATCGACTAAGACACACACATGGACTTACACACACATGGAGCCATGCACACACATCGACTTACACACCCACAGACTCACACACACATACACAGACTGACACACACAACGCCCTACACACAAAGACACATTGACTCGCACACACACGTCGACTTACAAACACATAAACATCGACTTACACGCACACATGGACTCACACACACAAACACATCGACTCTGACACTCACACACATGGGACTTACACACACACATCGACTGACAGACACATCGACTGACACACACATTGACTCATGCACACACTTGGACTTACACATACACATCGACACACACACACAAACATCGACGCACACACAGACGCATCGACTCGCGCACACACACAAAGCGACCATCGCTGACACGCAGATGAACTTACACGGACACAAGGACATAGGCACACACACAATAAAGACAGTAAATTGTGAAAAATGAGTTGTCTGCAAACAAACATAATTATTCGTATAAATGCAAGGTGATTATTAAAGAAATAGGTTTGAATGTACGTAAGTTTAGCGAAAGAAGAAAATTAAATAATATTTTGTACAAACAATAGTATGTTAATATTTCCAAGGTTATGTAAATGATAGTTTTTTATGTACGTGCGTTTAGCGAAAGAAGCAAGAAAATGAAATAATATTTGTCTGCACGCAAAAAAAAGTAATTAATTATTCACAAGGTGATTAATTAAATAATAGGTTTCTATCTACGTGAGGTTAGCGAAAGAAGCAATACAAAAAAGTTGTCTGCACACAAACAAAATGATTATTATATTTCCAAACCAATTGTTTTAATATAATTTTTCTATGTACGTGAGTTTAGCGAAAGAAGCAATAAAATTGTACTTAACATTACCGTGGTGAGGCCTAGTCCCGTGCAGAACCCGCGGCCTCGCCTAGATTGTGCAGCCGGCCGAGGTGGCTCCCTGGCAGGCTGTGGGCTGGGCCCACGCTACAATAATTACTATCGAAGCGCTATATAATATTAATGTAGGGACTCTATAGCAGTAACTGCACGTATTGGGGTGGGGTGGGGTACATGACATTTAGAGGAATTAACGTCAGCCTTTTGTGTGAAAATGTCCCCCTCACCCCGACCGACTTGGTTAAATCCGTCCCCCCCACAGAACGCCTGTGACTTGGTACGGTCGAGCGCGCTCCATTTAATAAATAATTGAACGCAAACTGCACAAAATCTCTAATTCAAGTAATGTAAAGTTGACAGATGGGAAACAGGAATAGCGCTTGCGTGGTACCTGGCAATATATTTTTTTTACGTAAACCCAACCGTTGGAGAGCCAAGCGCGCGACCACACACAAACCCACACACAAACCCCGCCACAAACCCACAAACAAACCCACACACAATTTTTGACTTTTATATATAGAAGATAGATCATACAATTTGCTGTTATAATATATGTCCGCTTAAACAATACAATGCAATCTTTGTTTTATTTCTGTTCATACAGAGATCTCTTGAATTCAAAAGCAACGGAAAAATTATTTCGTCACAAATGAGTGTTTCTCTGCCGTACATATCAGGTAATTTAAAACTACTCTAAATGCAGTCATCAACCTCATCAGCCATCGCCCACTGTTAGATGAGGGCCTGCAAGCTGTCACCATCCCTGCTGATCTAGTGATACCACAATCGATTTCACTTCTGCACAATCTCGACGATGATCCGCCTCTTGGCTGTGTGCTCTCTGTTAGCTGCAATTCCATCGCCAGTCTCGTCCACCTGCTATCTTGCCCTTCACCGATTGGTCCACCCCAAGTCTACTTACATTCACCTCTCATTCATCTTTCTATACATTTTATCCTGACGTGCCTCCAATACGGCTGTATTAGAACAATCCGATTGTGTTGCTCTAACATTGTGTTTGTCTTTTGTTTACTATTCTGTAAACACTGCTTGCCTCGATAAGGTGCATTCTTAAAAAAAATAATCAAGCTTTTGTATTGCAGTTTAAGCCACCGGAGCTCCCCGTGTCAGAATACAGGATGAACGATCGTGCTGTGTTTATCGTCCTCCGCAGATTCGGTCAAGATATTTCGGAAATCCTCAATGTTCATTCAGGTTGATACGTCATACGGGATGATGATGCTGGTACAGAATTCCCCGACCATGCAGGTCTACATTGGGCTCATTGACAGCGTGATGTTCAGGGAAACAGGTACATTTTAACATCTCTCACATTTCAAATGAATGCGTTGATTCGTGGTAAATGTATGTTGATTGAATAATATGTACTGTGACTGGAGGATGAAGGTAGAGTGGATCATTCGAATATATTAAAAAAAATATCATTGCGAACACAGTTGTTTTTGTCCCGATTTATATTTTCTTCATTGCTTAACTTAATTTTATTCGTTATGCTTTTGTCATTTTGGAGACCCAGGTCACTCTTGCAGATTAGACTTCTATCCTGGTCTCTTGAGTTATCACGTGGTTTAAAACATTGCTTGAGATCACTCCATGTCGGTATGGCTAATGTTAAGGTATGACTCTACTAGCATGGAAAAGGTCAATCCCAATCCAAGAGTAAAATGTATCTACCATTCCAGAGTGTTTTTCCTTCCATAGCCATTCAACACAACATTTATAAAAAAATATATAATTTGTCATTGATTTCAAAGAATAATCAATTGCTGGTTAAACAAATGTATAAACACATCACTGCGTGATATATACAAATAATAGTGTAAGGTCCTTTGTAAATCCATTGCTGGATTAAGTTATCCGCTTGCCATATAATTCATGGGGGTTGTTTGACCATACTGGTCATTGCAAATTGGTGAAAGGAGAGCCGAGGACTAGTTCAGATATCATTCACCACTGCTCTTAGCCATGGCTGGAAATCAAACTCGGGTTGCCGGTTTCATATTGCAGTGCACTAACCACTGCTTCACAGTTCGGCCCATATAAAGTTATATATAGCTTTAAGTAAGATAAATTATTTATTTTCAAACACCAATTGTGATTCAAATGTCTGATCATTACCTTGATTTGCTTAATTAGATGTAACATATTATTGGTCCTTTCGGTAAAGTCACGTAGAAGGGAAACAATAACATAATAAAAATATGAAACAATAAAATTCTCACGACGTTTCGAACGCAACACAAGCAGTCATCATCAGGTGTGAAAACCACAGCAACATTAGATGTAACATGACAAACTTATTTATTATCTTAAAGTAAATGACTAACATGAGCAACAAAACAAACCTAGTCATTTTTTCCAATGTGTACGCCAACAGGGCTATGTGGAAATTTCAATGGCATCGCTTCGGATGACTTCATGTCCAGCCAAGGGCTTGTGGAAGGCACTGCCGCTGCATTTGCAAACTCATGGAAAGTGAACCCAGACTGTGAGGATGTTGGCACCGTGATCAGAGACCCATGCCAGCTGAACACGGCAGTTGGTATGTATGTTGCCTCGAATGATACCACAAAACCACATTCAATGTCTGTATGCAGCATGGGAGTACAGTAATGCTTGTAGTTGAACGATCTCAAATATTATTACTCATCTATATTTAATTGTAGTGCTGTGTTTTGCATTTAGCACTTTAGTGTCTCATGCTTGGGTACGTTTTGCTTTTCTATCAACAATTAATTACTTCACAAGTTTTATGGCTGAATAAACTCTCAAAGTCACTGGCAACAATAAAATAAGAACCATAAAAAAGCTGCACTATTAACTCCTTTGCTCTTTTAAATTGTTCAAATAGCAAAACAGGCTGAATTGAGATGCGCCATTCTGCGAAATTCCACGGCATTCTTCAAGGACTGCCATTACCTGGTCGACCCTTACAGCTACTACTCGGTAAGTGTAACCCCAATGCACGCACATATATGCAATGCTTCAGTAGATGCACATTTTCGATATGTGAACGTAAGTCATACATCTTTGGAATGTACATGCCAAGTAAAGTTATAGTGATATTATCTTACAACATAGTAAGATGTTTAAAACACGCTTCATGAGGGTTAAAATATCACTCTGCCCCTATTTTAATAGTCCATTTTGATATATTTTCTGTCATTTGTTTCATTATTTCACCATAATAATTGGCATGGGCTGGGGGAGATGCCCAGGGCTGGTTTAGATATCACTCATCACCATTGTTAGCTTTGGTCCGGAATCAAACTCAGGTCACCGGCTATATTGTGTGTAGTGCTCGAACCGCTTCACCACTGCTCATATAATTTCAGAACATTTATTGAAAATGTGCTTGCACTGGAATTTTATAAACATATTAAGCTACGTTATTGTCACATGAGGTGGCTTTGAAAACGGGGAGTATTGTTTGCTCACCCATACAGAGCTTCCTTTAAAAAAAACATATATACAGTACTTCAGAGGCGTTTCCAAAACTGTCACAATTATAATAATCAATAAATTCAAAGAGGGTAGAATCATGTGCTTAAAATCACTGCCAAATATGACGCACTTTGCTTTATGAGACCATAAAAATGTTTATACCAATAAATGGCAGCTTTATTTATCCGTTTAGTAATATACTCCCTTTTTTATGTGCTCGTTGTTTAGAGGTGCAAGCAAGACGCATGCAGCTGTCCTTCAGGACAGGACTGCATCACAGAAACCTTCCTCTCCTATGCTCTCGCCTGTGCATCCAAAGGCCTCGTTTTTGAAAACTGGAGGAAGGCCACCGGTAAAAGAACCCACACCAAAATAATAATAATAAAATGACTACCGATTACAGTCGTTAGCTATTACACCTATCTATTGCTGTACATCTATTACACCTTTGACACCTTTTAGCAGTGGTGTTTGTTGCTGACCATTTGGTTTTTTGGGCCTTTGCAGCTGTGCCCAGCAGCGGTGATATGATACAAAAAGTGCAGGTTCTTATTCTGAAATAATTAGTGTTGAACATTTTCTTTGATAAGGTGGGGAGTTGATCAGCAACGTGTGTGTGTTCACGTCGTCGAGGTTGGTTGAGCCAGTGGGCAGCTTGCGGAGACTCCTGGTGGCCGTTTGAAATGTTGCCAGTCAATGACCGAAGTGGGTAGGAGCTGGTGGTCTTTGTGGTCCATCGTTTGACATTGCTGACCGCAGTCACCCTGTGGGGCGATTCTTAATTGTCCATTGGTGTGGGAGTGTTGAACAGTGCTCCATATTTGAGAAGCACACTTTTTTGTTCCCAAAATGTGACAAGCCCATGTTGTAATTTAGTATCAATTTTTTGTCTTAACATAAATGGCCTTGCAGCATTAATGTAAAGCCCATTGAATGTTCACGCATGTGATTGTGCATATGTGTGTTTTTATGGAAAATAGTTAAGTCGTAACAAGTGCTCACCAAAAAAAAACACGCCCCAACATCATCCCACGAGGCTAAACCGAGTGTCTGTTTCTTTCCGCTTGCACCGTCCACCTCATATTTTGAACAGACTCTCAGCTGGTGGAGTGTCCAAATGCCGAAGTGTACAGCTACAACGCCAACGCATGCAACCAGACGTGCCGCTCGTTGAGCAGCGTGGACCTGGCGTGCCAGGAGAGCGGCTTGGTGGCCGAGGGCTGTCAGTGCGCTGAAGGCCTGTTTGCTAACGACGAGGGGATGTGCGTCCCTGCCGTGAGCTGCCCCTGCTACGTAAATGGCGATATCCTCAAGCCTGGCGAGAAAGTGACCATCGCAGACATCCCATGGTAATGGACCAAATTAAGTTTGATGGGGGCCCAGGGCTGTTGGGGTATTTGGGGACACTATTTGTACCCAAGATTGCATTCCTTCTTTTAACTGTTTTACCACCATCTACGCCCGATGCAAAAACTCTATGGCTACATTAATTATTTCTGTGCTTAATTTTAAATGTCATGTATGAATTGTAAAGCTCGATAAAAGTTAAACCAAACAATAGCATTTAAATGTTGCCACATAACTGGTGGTAATATGCTTCTGAATTCTCTGCCTCTAATTACCAAGTGACCTATACGATTTGTCATAGTACTACAGTATTGTGTTTTAACCATTAGAAAGCATTCATAATTATTTTTTAAAGGTCACACTGCAAAAATAACTTATGTATCGCAAACCCTCCTCCACCCAACACAGCCAATTTATAAAGTTGTCACGTGAAACAAATGTGCCAATGTGTAGTGTTCGATTTCACTCGGACAACTTTTGTCTTTTTTCGAACACCGCTTTATTTACAACTCTCCGCATGTCCTCAGTATTTCACAGTATCGATGTCGCCACGGCTCTCTCGCCGTGCTTCACTCGACTCGCTCGCCACCTTTGTCTCTCCACTCCCCACTATCACTGCGCTTACTCCACCGCTAACTTCTTCGTCTCCGCTCTCCGCTATCACCGATGCTATGCTCTCTCCACTGCGAGCTACTTCGTCTCTGCTCTCCGCTATCACCGACGCTATGCTCTCTCCACTGCTAACTACTTCGTCTCTACTCTCCGCTATTGTTACGCTCTCTCCACTGCTGGCTGCTTCTCTTCTTCAGCTCCGCTATCACACTCTGTTTCCAAACTCCGTCTCCAACTCTGTCTCCCAACTTTCCTCCCCACTCCACGTCTTGCCTCGTCCAGCTCCCAACTCCCTCTCCTGCTCCATTTCCCGACTCCCCAATTTATCCCCGCTCTCATTACTCCCGAATTAATTAGTCCGTGCCCCAACGACGCTCGGCGTCGTTCGCACCTGTTTCTCACCCAGACCTTTATGCGCCACTCTAGCCTTGACAACAGATACAGCCAATCACAGCCGTCCTTGGCTCCCCCAGCCTAATTGCCCTAACATAACCTGCACTGTATTTGCCTTCGCTACAGGCTGACCCAACATAACCGTTACTGTCTTTGTTACCATGAAATCACGCTGTTTGCACTACGCACCTTCCTACTCCACTACAAATGTATTACTGCTTCAGCACACTGGTGTCTTGGAGAGCAATATCACACCATTTAAATCGGTATGACGTTTCACTGATAGTTACAACCGGCATCATCAGGCAGTTTCTAGAATTGTGAAAATATCCTCCAGTGTTGGGCCTTAAATCGGAGGTGTGACGCCATCAATGTGCATTCACACGCAGCATTATCTTTTTGGAGGAACCTCAACACTGAAGCCATGGGCTCCTGTGGCCTCAGTTTTGAGGCCATCATTTTCACATCTACGTTAAAAGCTACAGGAGCATTGCTCACACTTGGAAGTAGATCGCATCAGTCATCATCGCACCTCCGGTTATCACAGTGCGAAATAACATACATACATTCATTGCCTGCCTGTTTCATAGTAAGGCAGCGTCACATAAGTTGAGTTTCATCAATGACATTCAAGAAGAATGTTCGAAGTAAAGTAAGTTGTATAAAACAATAAAACAACACCACGGTTACCTGTAGAGAAAGAATAAGTGTAGGGATGGTCAAGAATGATTCATGACTTCAAATGTCAAATTGAAGTAGTACATTCCTACCACTTACAGCATGAAGCAGTGATGACTTTGAGAAAATAAATCTTAACATTTATGCATCTTACGTACTTTCAGCTGCCTAACTATTCTTGGGCTTGTATATTTTTGCAAGTCTCATTTTCCTGATTAAAGGTAATACTTTTTTGGGGTGTAGTTGCCGTGATCTATAATTTTAATGGAGTTTCGCACAGACACCGCCTCGGGATATAATTATATATTCATGCTCACATGCGTAGCAAAAGTGCACTCTTTAAAAAAAAAAGTGTATTGTTTCCTGTGATATCCATGTGTCTGATGTATTACAATATAAATTGTTAATTCACTTCAAACACTATGGCTTGGAACATTCATTGATGCCTTTTTTCCTTCATTAACAGCTACTGCCGTGAAGGACAACTCCTCTGCTCCGAGAGCAAAAAAGAAGGTACACAATGGATCCGTGGTTGTTGCCGGCCTTCTCACAGAGCACGGCATGCCTTTACAATGTTCTGGCGAAAGAAACCAATTTTAGGTCGTGGTGCCCGATCATTTTTCTCGTGCCCTGCCTCGTTCTGGTGGCACCGTGTTCGTCTGGCGCTGTCCCGTCGCAAAATCCGCAGCTGCATTTGGCGTGTCGGCCGCATTTGGCATAGCAGGCTGCGGCATCGGGAAGAGAGAAGCCAGAAAAAATATATCATTGACCTTCTACATTGACCGTTAATATCTACTTGAGAAAGTCTGCCCATGTGAATGAACTTACCAATTGATGGTGCTTCATGAAGAATGATCACTCGTATTCATTGGTTATTTGGAACAGCACGAATTGTAGAAGACTGTGATTCAGCCGATGTTTACCATCTTAATTAAGATGCATGGCCCATGACATTTAAAAGGTGTCGTGAAAATATTTGAACTGTGAAAATTGTCGTGTTTGCTGTAAAAGTTGATCTTTTACATATGTATTACACGTGATTATTATCTTTAATGCAGGAGTTTTATCGTAAACGTACGATAGGTGAGGTTAATATGATCTACACGTTTATAAAAAAAAACATATATGCATGTTTATTTGCTAAAAAAAAATAGGTTGTATTGTCAGTGAGGTACAAACTCTGAAGTGTGCCCATTACCTAAAATATAGAACATGAACAGTCCTTTGTCAATCCACTGCTAGATGAGGGTCGCCGGCATTTGTTTGACCCTTACTACGCTGGGGAGTGCGCATCGGTGAAGGCAGGGGGGCAAACGCATGGGGGCATCTAAGAGCAGTAGAGCAATCCATGTTGCTGCACTGACCTCTGCTGCTTATCATGTAGATCCCTACCCCCCCCCCCGGTAGCATTTTCACCTGTTATTCACGGCGGTTGCTCATTCAAGCACTTCGCAGGGTCGAACCTGCTTAGCTTCCGAAATCTTGACGCCGAATACATTAGCTCACTATTTGTGTTAAATTTCCACGGCGGCCTCTGATGACGAACGTGGCGGGTGCTGTTTGTGTTTGTTCCCTTTGAAGAATGCACTTCTCCAATGGTGTACGTCGATTGCATCACCAGCACGTACGGAAAGGCCTGCGAGAGCAGCTGCGCAATACAGACACCGCTGTGTGTAAGTGCTGGGTGTGGGCCCTGAGTGGATCAAAGCCCCCCCGACATCCGTGTTGGCCTGTCGTGCCAACAAAAATGGCTATAAAACACGTATCCATTTCGAATTAAAAAAAATGAAATAGAAAAGGTATCAACTAGACAGCCGAATTATTATTTTTTTGCAAGAACGTCAAAATTAATTCGGCAATCAATGATTGTAACCAAAATCGATTAAACTGTTTTGGCGAAATGTAATACGGTCACTGCAATGCCACCAAGTCGGGTAAACGTGTCCATATTTGTTAGATTGTCCTGATTGAGGGTTATTATTTAATAGATTCAAAATATCTCTACCTTAGTGCGAATCAATGAATGCGTTGTGTTGTATTTCCTGCAGCTGGGCAGGCAGTGCCAACCTGGTTGCATTTGCCCAGAGGGCCTGATCAACAATGGTAATGGAGACTGCGTCAACAAAGAGGAATGCCCTTGCCAGCACAACGGACTGAGCTACACTCCAGGAGACACCATCAAAGTGGACTGCAACAAATGGTGCTTGCATAATACCGGCATTAGTTTTGCGAATTCGTTGCATTTTAAACATTTTTTTTTAAAAAGGACAAATGAACTTGCTATACATTCTCATCATCAGTACAACAGCCATTCTCAATCCACCAATGAACGAATATATCCCCACACCATGTCGGTTTTGCTTTTGTGTTTTCTTTTTTTTACCATAGTTCACCATGCTCAGTGTGTCATTTAGTGATGTCGGGGAGAGGGCAGGACCAGTTCTGATATCACTTGCCACCTTTGTTAGCCATGGCCAGGAACCAAACTGGCGTCACGCGGTTCATCGTGTGGCGTAATAACCACTATACCACCGCTCCACCCCAGTGTTAATTTTATATTTCTTCATGCTATGATGTTTTTTTAATACATTTATTCTTTAATATAATTATCAAAATCACAGCACACCTATTTGGAGTGGCATCTTCAAGGACAAATTGCCAGGTGGGGAGACACACAGGTGGGGTTTACATTTGGGGTTAAACTTGAATAATAATGTCTGAGTCAAGGCTTGTGTGGTTAGGGTGCGGCGCTCATGATTTTCTGGAAGGGAAGGAGCAGTGTCATTGTGGCGCATCAGTGTAGCATATAATACTGGTAGGAACCTCCTGGTTACACCAGCCCACAGGGGATTATTGTGTCCGTCCGTCGTGCATCCAAAAATGGGAGGGGTGGGGCTGGGTGGAGAGGGGAGGGTGGGGAGGGGCTGGGTGGGGAGGGTGGGGAGGGGCTGGGTGGGAGGGTGGAGCTGGGTGGGGGGTGGGAGGGGTGGGGCTGGGTGGGGAGGGGCTGGTCACCCCGTGGTGCCCTTATAAAACTTATAAAACTCAACGTTTAACCTACTCACGCCGGCTTGTGCCCACCCTCACAGTTGGGCATATTTGCGGAATACACCACGTGGTGCCGCCGTTGACCCTGGCCATTGACCGAGCAACCCAACGTTCCTACCAGCTCCCTCCGCAGGAATGTGTTTATCATGAGCATTATAATCTTCATGTAGCATGTCAGTATAGGCATGTACATATTAGAATGTATAGGAAATAGGTAATTTACTACCATCACTCACTAGTTTACAAAAAAGCACAAAATGTACCAATGTACATTTTATACTTTCTCTCGCCAAGTCAGTAGTGTGGGTTTTTTTTTTTCTTACCACACTTCACCAGACTAATCAGTGCAAGTTGTTGAAAGAAGAGGGTGCCAAGACAGCTTCGGATATCACTCACCACTTTTGTTAGCCATGGCTGGGAATCAAACTCAGCTAGCCAGGTTCTTAGCGCAGTGTGCTAAACACTGTATCACTGCTCCCTCCCCAAAATGGATATACTGACCTACATAGCAAAAAGGGGTTGACCTTGCCAATGTATATGTTATTTGTATATTTTAAAAGTGTGTCCGCTCTTGTCTCACAGCAAGTGTTATAGTGGCTCATGGAACTGCACAGAACTTCAGTGTGATTCTACCTGCAAGATGTACGGAGATGGCCACTACACAACCTTTGATGGGCAGCGCTTCCAGTTTGACGGCAACTGTGAATACGTTGTGGCACAGGTACTGGGACGATTCTGATGAAAATGTCTTAATCAACCACCAGTTATTCTTCTGAGTAGTGGCTACTTTTGATCAGGTGTCATAATCAGTTCTGTTGCTGCTGTTCTTCCAAATATACATGACGAAATATAAATGATGAATGTCATATTGTGTGATTTATGTGGCAGAATTTGTGACACGATGTTGGTACACTTACTCATATATCTCACTTCAATATGTAAAAAAAAGTTGGTGCAAACAAGGCTCATTCGAATGTGTTTTTTTAGGACTTCTGTGTCTCTGATCCAAAAGTCGGCACTTTCCAGATCATCACAGAGAATATACCATGTGGCTCTATGTCCACGTGCTCCAAATCCATTAGATTCTTCCTGCAGGTAAGCTCTGTCTATATATATAAAGTATATAATGAACTCCCATTGTTACAACAAAAACTTTTACCGCTGTGTGAATATATGCGTTACAATTGAAAGCGTTTTGAATGTCTTAATGTTCGTTTAATTTGACGTACGTAAGGTGTCAGTTTTGGTGCCAGATAAAAGGGTAAAAACCTATTACTATATCTTGCTACTGGCAAAGGAGGTCTCATAGTGTAAATGCTTACCCCGAGCTCTCAATACTCTGATAGTGCGCTGTTTTTGAGTTGTACACCTTTTGGCGTCATCTGGTCCAACACCAGTGGAGACTAGGCTCTAAGAAAAGCCGTCTCAGGTGTGGACCAATCAATTTCAAGGAAAGTGCATATCATTATCAGAGTTGTCTCTTTTTGTTTGCATTTTGACTGCTTGTGTTGTGGTTATTGCAAACATGATCCCTTGTATAAAGGTGCCAGTTTTGGTGCCAGATAAAAGGGTAAAAACCTATTACTATATCTTGCTACTGGCAATGGAGGTCTCATAGTGTACGTAAGGCGATTCACAAGTTGCACCATTTATGTTCCAGAACAAGGAGATAAAGCTGGCAGATGGTAAATATGAAATCCATGACGTGTCCGGCTCTGCAAGCAAAGGGAGCGAAGAAGTGTTCACAGTTCACACGGTGGGACTCTATCTGATTGTCAAAGCATCGAATGGAATCAAGCTCATTTGGGACAGATGGACGAGTCTGTTCATCATTGCACCTCCAGACAAACAGGTGACCTCACCCTCATGTCAACAGTGTACATGGCCGAGCACACCTTTTTCAAATGCACCAACCAGACATCGATACAACTTATTCTGTTATTAATCTACTTCAGTGTATGACTTCAAAACAATTGCAAACACAGGTCGTTTGACTTCAATGGCTACATGTTTTCTTAAAACTAAAAAACAAACTTGTCCTTGAAGCAGCCTACTTTTTATATCCTTAATTCCCCAATTAAACAATAAATGTCATTAAGAGTTCCCTCTAATTTCAACAATTGTTGCAGCTTTATTGTTAAGTTTGAAATACGAATACACAATTAGTATTCAATACATTTTACTGAGAGTTGTTTCCAATTCAATAATCAAATATTAGGCTGAAGTATTCGTATTTTTTTACAATGCCTATATTAAAAACAATTCTACATAAATGCTAAAGGCATTGAAAGAAGAACATTCAAATGAAAGAACTTGTTTTCATCTGTCATTTGCTTGCCACTTGACTTTCAGAACCAGCTGTGTGGCCTGTGTGGCAAGTACAACTTCGACATGTCAGATGACTTCACCATGCGCGACCACTCATTGTCGGCCAGTCCTCTGCACTTTGGGAACAGTTGGAAGGCGAGCGACGCATGCTCAGATGTGACCGATGAAGCATCACCCTGCGAGATGAACCCTTACCGTAAAGCGTGGTCGGAGCGCAAGTGCAGCATCCTCAAAACCGACGTCTTTGACGCCTGCCACAGCCAGGTACTGTTTGAAAGTGTCACCATTGTCATGATCGTAGTAAGCCATTGTCTATCCACTGCTAGATGAAGGCGCGCCCCATGCCATTGCCACCCCTTATGGCCCCGCGATGCTACAACCCATCTGCTGTGCATGAACTGATCTCAACCCCCAATCTCCATGGTGGTCTGTCACATCGTGTGCATTTTCTCTTCTGGAATTCTGTCATTAGCGCCGTCCCATCGATCGTCATCTCATTTTTCTAAAGTGTGCTGGCCAAATGCACTTAACGTTTCGCGAGCATATTTATTAACGTACTTCGTCAACAAAAATGTATCCATACAACAATGTAGTAAATACAATATATTGCCATTTAGCACACGGAGAAGGTTTTATTTCCGTATTGAACTTTTTTGGGATGTTGCGCCCACACTTACCCGCGGCGTTGTACTCGAAGGTGGACCACATCCCATTCTACGAGGCGTGCGTGCGCGACTCTTGCGCGTGCAACATTGGCGGTGACTGCGAGTGCTTCTGCACGTCAGTGGCCGCCTATGCAGAGGCGTGCACCTCGGCTGGCCAGTGCGTGGCGTGGAGGACCCCGGATCTTTGCCGTAAGCGTCTGCTTGCGCACACTGCCACACGCGCCTTATTTTGCTTCTGCATCCACTCACCGGGTGACCAAGATCGAGCGAATTTGGTAGAGCAGCAGGATTGCAATTATAGTTCGTATTATAATGCGGAGCGGACATTGCGTCATTGTGAATATTCCTGAAGTTAATTAAATAGGCAATTGAAATGTATTACGTTTAAGTGAAGATGAAAACTGAAAAAAACCAAATACTTCTTATATGGAAGATGCAACCTAAGGCTGCCCAACACAAACGTAAAATTTCGTTACAAAAGAAAATATTTTAAATTCACAGTCAAGCACTCTGTCATTCTAGTGATACTACTACAGAAGGCATTGCATAAACAAGTATGGTAATCACATCATAGTAAAGTCACTAGAAACTTTGACCTCATGTCGAATACACAGTCTTGGTGTAGCTTCAAGAGCTGTTTACTTTTGGGTTACATCTTCCTTTGAGTATTTGTGGGTTTAAAAATGCCTTTCATTTGTATGATTGCAGTGCAACTATTTACAAGTGATTACATACGTGTAGTGAGTCCAACTGAATCGCAGACATTCTTCTTTAGAGGCAACACATTTATTTGTAACATCAACACGTAACACAAAGGGGTAACTGCCCCTTCACCAGATACAGCCTAGGGTGGTGGCCACCCAGCTAACTACCCTATACGTAGGAGTTACAGCTACGAAGGGTCTGACCCTCACTCGGGTCCCGACCACGTGTTGATGCCTGTAGAGCTTCCAGCTTGTAGGACGTAGAGCTTCCGCTTGTAGAATGCAGCAACACCGGTCCCTCTCAGGGACCCACCTTATACCCCCCTGGGTCGGGGCTGCTCCGCCCTTGGCCCCGCCCACCTTCTCGAGCGTTCCAGCTCCCTCTCGATCCCGCTCGAGAGCTCTCCCTGGACACGTGATCACCCCCTAGCCCTCCCCCCCGCCCACCTGGGGCCTTCTCTGTGGACACTCCGGAAAACGTGTCTACGGGGTCAACCAGAGTGCCATGGCCCGGGGCAACCCTGTCCCTGGGCTGACACTCTCCCAATGCCCCTGGTGGGAGCCCGCACTGTGTGCTGTGCGTGGTGCCCGCGCTATCACAGCGCTCACCAAGCCCCGCTAGGGCTGGTACCACACCCGCCTACGGGGTGTACGCGATGACATCGCACGCCATGGCCCTCTCGGGCCGGCACCCTGCAGTGACATCCCCGCTGTCACTACATACGTATTAATCAACTCGTGCCTCGAATGTAATGTAATAACGAGAATACTTGTTTTATGCTCCTCTAGCTGTCTTTTGCGACTACTACAACAGCCCCGACTCATGCACCTGGCACTACAGACCATGTGGCATCGTAAACACAAAAACCTGTGGCAACCCAGCGGGCATCGACTTGGGCAATTTCCCACAACTTGAAGGTAAAGTGTCAAAGTTGTTCTTTTCCATTGATATTTTATCTGGCCATCGGCTACACTTTCAATTGCAGAAAACTGTATACCGTTTTTCAATAAATGTCAGTTCAATGGTGAGCAAATTTCTGTAGCCTATGTATGAGACGCTGTTTTTTTAAATTCCATCTTTATGCAATTGAATACAATTCTTAATCCACTGATAACATGAGTCGCTATGCTGACATAGAGAGGAACACGCTCGTCACTGCATATTTGAATATCCGTTCCTCTGTTCTTAAGGCATTTTGCTCACCTGCTGCATATATTCGTAGGTTGCTATCCCAAATGCCCAGCAAAGACTCCTTATCTGGATGAGCACATGATGACGTGCGTTTCCATGGACAAATGCAGCTGCGAGATGGGCAGCCAGATTGTCCCTGCGAATGGCACCGTGGTTAACAGGGACACTTGCGAGACCTGGTGAGGTTCGGTTGCATACACGATGCATGTGCACAAAAAATTAATATAATATTAATAATATCCCATCCCACGAATAATTATTATCCAACACCTTTTGAAATCGTGTAATATTATTCCGAAATTTCAACGTGTAAAAATGTTACTCGGAATATTTGTATTGGTGCTTTTTGCTACATTAACGACGCATAGCTTTAATTATTTAAATATATTTGTCTATTTTGTATACAGTTTAACTTATTCAGAACACATGGCCTGATATATACATATATTCCTCTGCTAATCAACCTAAAGATCAATAACATAAACTGTTTATACATTTATATACACTAACAATTACCCAATGATATTACCATGTTTTTCAGCACCTGCGTGATGGGAAATATGGAATGTGTACCATATGGTAAGCTGAAAACAGTTGCACACATTATTCATTTCATCATCAGCCAGCATCTATCCACTGCTTGATGAATGCATCCCCCAAGCTGTAACCATCCCTCTCAATGTAGCAACCCATGTAGCTCCTGCACACACATTGATCCCGTCACTCCATCTCCACGGTAATCATGGGCATGTTCCCACATCTGGCATCTCAACAGACTTCTTTTCCCTCACAACGGTGCTTAAGACAGTTTTTTTACGTTTGGGAGCCTCACAGTGACTCATATTACATCTAAGAAATGTTGGTCTTTGTGTGCCTCCAGACTGCTGCCGGTTCAATGGGGGAAACTACCTCCCAGGAGAAACAATCTTCACGAGTGATGGCCTTGATGGCCTCTGCCATTTCACTGCGGCGTGTGAGCTTGGTGGACACATCCACAGGGAGAGCAGCTGCCAACCCACCACACCCATCATCACCGGTAATGAAACCAAGTTACAATTATTTTGATATTCAAATCGGGCTAAGATCATTCGTATTTACATGTTAATGGCAATTGAAGGGGCAAGTACAGTGATACATTGACATGACAGTGTGACCTTTATTTGCCCTCAAACATCTTTCTCTGTCAGTTTAACACGCAGGCTTTCGCGACCAATATGATCCATAATATAGGTTTTTGGGTTAGAAATATAAATATATGTACTTCACAAACGTGTATTATGATGTTGATAGAAGTCCTGTCAATGCGATTTCTTAAAAATCTAAATGATCCTAGCATCATGTTTACGTATAAAAAGAGTCACATGACTACACATTTTCTAATCACTTACATAATGTGGATGTAAACGAATAAAATGAGAAATATAATACGTTAAATCAAATGGTAGGTGTTTATTGATTATACAACAACACAAAATAGGCATGGTTAATTGTAACAATTGGAACCGACCGCCATTCTTCAGAATTGGGTTGTAACCACCTAAACGTGCAACCTGAAGCTTGCGCAACTCGTCACGCAGGACACAGCTTCAGCAGTGTACACATCAAACATCCCGTCCATGCATGGAACACTACACACACCTACATTGTGCATGAATCAGAATCAGCTTGATCCCCTCACAAACCGATGGACAGACATCACACGTGCTTTGTCCAAACCCAAGCTCCGCCTGACCCTTGCCAATGAGGCAGACAACACCGACACGGACAAATTTCACGCTTCACTCGCACATGCAAGTGGCCAAAACGTTCATACCAGCCCCCCTCCCATCCCCACCTGCAGTGAGCTGAGATTGACCAATTTCAACAATGAGTAGTGCTAATCAGTAGATATCACACATTGGGCAATTCCCCAACTCGACGGTCGTGGTCCAGACAGGTACCCCCACCCTTATACCCCCTCCACTCATTTTGAACACACCACACACTTTAACTACCTCACCTGGTATACAGGAGGCCATGGGTTCTATCCCGGCCCTGAGGCATGTGTATTTGGAGTTTGCGTGTCTTTCTACCCGCGGTCGCATGGAATTTTTCTCCAGGTCCTTCGGTTTTTCCCTTCCACATTTAGAAAACGTGCGTTTAGAGAATTTGGCTGCTATAAATGTCCACGTGATAAGCCACTTCGTTGAGCTATCATTTGTGGCCAGGTCGCTTCTGAAAAAGAGCTACATAGCTCAGTGGGCCTTACCTGGTAAATAAACATCGTTTCACTTACTTTGATTCTGTTTGTTTTACTATATAAAGTACTAATAAATCCCTTTGTTAAAATTAAGTTGTGACATTTAATTTGCGTTTCAATGAACAGGGCACTCAACAACAGCATCGGCTGTCACAACCGTGACGTTCACAACGAAGAAAATGACAACAGCATTTAGTTCTTCATCTCAATCCCCAGCACCCACAACGACGCTCAGTCCTGTAGTGCCCACAACGACATTGGTAACATTACCAAAAATAACAACAATATCAACAATTGAAGAGTGTTACTCCATGAAACCACCACGTCAGGTGAGTGGAAATAGCACCGTGCCTATTATACAGGGTGTTTTAAAAAGATGGACCCAATTTCAAAGATATAGCGATTTCAAATCGGGTTCACAATTTTGAAAAACACCCTGTATATTGTTTCGCTTTAATCACCATAGTGTTGTTGATAAATGTATTGAGACTATTGTTAACAGACTTTGCTAAGTTAATACATGTGTGAATGTATCAGTTACGGAGACACTTTACAAGAAGGGACACACAATGGTTAACGTGCGCATGGTGATTATAAGTCTCAAACTTATTGTGTGTGGACATATTGTCAGTACATTAGTGCAGCATAACACACTGGTCCTCATTAAGCAGTCTAAAATCTAAATTTGAATCAGGAAATCTGTTTATCCATCTTTAATTGTCCCTGTTGCCAAGTTTGGTGCGATTCAAATGTTTATTCGGTTTACTGAGACTTGATAAAAAAAGGTCAATCTTGACCATTGATTTGGGTTCACTGAATCGAGGAACCGTCCGACCAATTCTAGGGCACGAGTCAAATTTGCCTTTGGAACACAAAGCAGCCAATTGTCATCAGGCTGGGGTGCTATACGGCAACAGACTGTGAAGCTCCGTGTTCAGCCGCTCATGACGTTCATCGTCTGACCAATTCGACATCACGAGAACTGACTTTGAAGCACCCCGCAAGATCTTCTGACCGGGGTTGCGAACCCTGGGAAAAAATATATTGTTGCGAAAAATGTGTTTTTTTTTTAATACCGCCCACCGGTGTACAGCAAATACATTCCTTTTTAATGTTCTACAGTTCATGGAATCGTGGAAGGTTGACAACTGCACGATCGCCACCTGCAATGGAGGGGACAACATCTCCTACTCCACCAAAAAGTGCAGCGTCTCCACGAAACCCAAGTGCCGCAACGCAGTGATGGTGTACGATGCTGATGGCTGTTGCTACACCTGGAAGTGCTTCTGTGAGTACCTTTCTCGCTTTCTGAAACAAAATAAACGCATTCAAGCATCGCGATGGTACTGGCAGCAATTGTTAGGAATACCTGGATATTTGGAGTGAATAAACATAAATGAGCATAAAATGGAAAGAAAAAAAACGTATCCTAAATCATGATCGTAAAACGTAGACAAATTTTGTGCGTGCAGTTCAAGTTTACTTTGTTAATTATGTTCACAAGCAATGATATTTGTGTTAATTACATGTATATAACTATTAAAATGTGTTTGAATAGCACTGCTTTAGGAAGGATACTTTTAACGTATAATACGTGAATAATTGCATTAATTTAGGATATTAGACAATGTTTTCCAATTTAGAGCAATTCCACTGGCTCTTGTGGAGTCTGTACAAATGAATTGATTAACCATTATAATGAATTGATTATTTTAAGTTGTATTACATTGAGGCAATGGTAGAATGTTCTTGTGCAATGATGATTGTTCATGTTTTTGTTTGTTGCGGTTGCACACGATTCAAGAGCCGAATGGCTCACAGGGCTATACCAAATAAATGAAACTGAAAACTGAATTTGTGCTTCTTCTGCCCAAAGGCAACTGCAAGGGATGGGGAGATCCCCACATCCGCACCTTCGACCAAGTTCTGTACGCATTCCTGGAAGACTGCACATACACCCTGGTGGAGGAGAAGGTTAACCGCCACCATCTCTCAATCATCACCGACAATTTCCAATTCTTCCCTGGAAACCCAGCCTCGTTCCCCAGGGGCATCACCGTCAACTACAACGGCAACTCCGTCAACATGAGCATCCCAGCCATTGTCAGGAAAAGGCAAAGCATCATCACGGTAAACATCACCGCTGTTTTTTTTTCGCAACCGAAGTATGTAAAAGGAAGAGCAAAATAATACATCTGTGATGCCTATGTTTGGACAATGCTAATTGATTGCACTTTTGAATTCATCCAGGTTCTCTACAACAATGAGCTGGTAAAACTACCATTTTCATCAGACGGGATTGAGATTACATCCACGGATGTTATTGTGACGGTGCACATCCCTGCAATCTACTCAACGATCGTCTTCACTGGCCAGATGTATTCGATCGATCTTCCATATGAGCTCTTTGGTGACAACACCCAGGGACAGTGTGGTAAGCGAACTCATTCAATTCTTTGGGGACAATTTGACAGGTTGCATGTCTACAACATTTATACAACATTACTGAAATGCATCACAATCTTATTTTTCCTAAAGTCACTTGGAAATTGTCTATCAACGGATCCACACTCAAAGCCCCATTATTTTCGCATTTCAGGAACGTGCAACAACCAGGGCAGTGATGACTGCGTGCGCAAGAGTGGGAAGTCAGAAGCATCTGATTGCTGCCACGTCACTGCCAAGGAGTGGATGGTGGCCGATCCCAGCAAGCCACACTGCAAATCACCAGGGCCATCGGGCAGCGTGCCTTGCCAGGCTCCCACTCCAACCCCTACAGTCCCTTGTGTATTCGACCACGAATTGTGCAAGGCCATCGATAAGACGTACGTTCCCTCAACCTTAACTACGATTATGTTCAAATAACAGACATCATTTTCACAATTGCAACGTACTTTTTCATATTATATCTGACATCCTATCGTTTCGTAATGTGAAACATTTAAGAAAATTGCTTGATTGGTGTACCGTTCGTTTTTCACTGAAGTTAAATATTGGAGGATTGGCTGTAGAGGTATTAATTTTTTAGACAATATTTCCACTGTATATATGGTACTGTACTTTCAAATCAGTCACTATCCACTTATTGTCTCTCCAGGGAGTTCTCTGCTTGCTTAGAAGTGACCAGTCTATTGAGCTACATAGAGACGTGCAAGTTCGACCAGTGCAGAGTGAACTCCACTCCAGCTGGGTGCCCCAGCATACAATCAGCAGCAGATGACTGTGCCATGCTGGGCTATTACGTGGACTGGAGGAAAGCCACCGAAGGAGGCTGTGGTAAGAAACACCAGGACTCTCATGCACCCTTGCCCACGTCATTATTAATAAGGACTCTTACATGGTACATCTATACACTGCATCATGTATGAGGATGACTGACAGCATGTAATCGAATGGTTGGGTTCACAGACTTCGAGTGTCCTGTTGGAATGGAGTACAAGCCTGCAGGACCCAAACTGGTGGCATCCTGCAGTTCTGGGTAATGTGTGTTCCTATGAACAACCAGACAATGAAACATACAGAAGCTTTATGATCTTATCTTAATTTCTGTCAAGTGTAATGTGAATGCGTAAAATACTTGTAAAATATGGAATTGTCAACATATGTTACGAATTGCATGTAAATGTCTATGTTTGTGCAATGCAGTGGCAGTGTTGAAATGATCAGCGAACTCCGTGAAGGCTGCTTCTGTCCAGAAGGAACAATGATCTGTGACCATGCTTGCGTCCCACTACCAAGTAAGATCAATGATCTAGTTATCTTAACTATTGTCACTAAATAACACATTTTGCTATCGTCAGTATTTGGAAAATAACGCGAAATATTTATTTATTTTCCAGCTTCAACAACACCTCCATCGACTACGCAAGAAAGTACAACCTTTACCACGGGAAAACCATCAACCACTGAAGTGACAACACCAGCTGTAACCATAACCGTCCACGAACCAATTACTACAGTTGTGCTAACTACCACAACTCTGTCTACTGCTGGATCAACACCTGGCCAATCAACTGCACCCCAGTCACAAACAACAACTCCTTATGTTGAACAAACGACCACAACCCCGCAAAGTGGTGGGACACCAGTACAAACAACGATTTCAGAGCCAGACCAATCTACCTCATCTGGTGAAACATCAACGGCTCCTTTATCCACCACAGCCTTCATATCCTCAGCCATATCTCTTGGGTCGTTGCCCACAACACCTGAAACAACTGCAGTGTCTACAACAGTCGACACAGCCTGTCGCTCTGTAAATCCACCACGTCAAGTAAGTGAATATTCTTAATGCCTTCATCTCGTGTAGCTTCCTTGACTTGACACTATGATTCATGCATGAAATACAAGATGCTACCATGTCATGAAAGCCATGTTATTATTTTAATTTTCACATGCTAAGAATTTGAATCAAGTTCCTCACACCGATTATCCTTCATCTTTGTAGTTCATGGAATCGTGGAAGGTTGACAACTGCACGATCGCCACCTGCAATGGAGGGGACAACATCTCCTACTCCACCAAAAAGTGCAGCGTCTCCACGAAACCCAAGTGCCGCAACGCAATGATGGTGTACGATGCTGATGGCTGTTGCTACACCTGGAAGTGCTTCTGTGAGTATCTTTCTCGCTCTCTAAAACATACTGAATGGATTGAAACGTTATGATGGTCTCGAAACACAGCAATGGTTATGGATACTTTACGATCTGAATATCATTAGTAAGATTCGCGATTTTTTTGCTGCATTAAGTTAATTGCTTAAACATTCCTGTAATTAAAACTTGCCTTTCTAAAAAAATACATCATACAATTTATGAATTGACATTTTGAGATGGCATAGTGAACTGGAATTTACAATGCTGTGAAATATGATGAATGGATGATTTAGAATGTTGCCATGATTTAATTTATATTCATTTGTTTTGATAGTAGAATGTGTTCCAGTGCAATGATGATTTGTGCTTCTTCTGTCCAAAGGCAACTGCAAGGGATGGGGAGATCCCCACATCCGCACCTTCGACCAAGTGCTGTACGCATTCCTGGAAGACTGCACATACACCCTGGTGGAAGAGAAGGTTAACCGCCACCATCTCTCAATCATCACCGACAATTTCCAATTCTTCCCTGGAAACCCAGCCTCCTTCCCCAGGGGCATCACCGTCAACTATAACGGCAACTCCGTCAACATGAGCATCCCAGCCATTGTCAGGAAAAGGCAGAGCATCATCACGGTAAACATCACCGCTGTTTTATTTCGCAACCGAAGTATGTAATAGGAAGAGCAAAATAATACATCTGAGATGCCTATGTTTGGACAATGCTAATTGATTGCACTTTTGAATTCATCCAGGTTCTCTACAACAATGAGCTGGTAAAACTACCATTTTCATCAGACGGGATTGAGATTACATCCACGGATGTTATTGTGACGGTGCACATCCCTGCAATCTACTCAACAATCGTCTTCACTGGCCAGATGTATTCGATCGATCTTCCATATGAGCTCTTTGGTGACAACACCCAGGGACAGTGTGGTAAGCGAACTCATTCAATTCTTTGGGGACAATTTGACAGGTTGCATGTCTACAACATTTATACAACATTACTGAAATGCATCACAATCTTCTTTTTCCTAAAGTCACTTGGAAATTGTCTATCAACGGATCCACACTCAAAGCCCCATTATTTTCGCATTTCAGGAACGTGCAACAACCAGGGCAGTGATGACTGCGTGCGCAAGAGTGGGAAGTCAGAAGCATCTGATTGCTGCCACGTCACTGCCAAGGAGTGGATGGTAGCCGATCCCAGCAAGCCACACTGCAAATCACCAGGGCCATCGGGCAGCGTGCCTTGCCAGACTCCCACTCCAACCCCTACAGCCCCTTGTGTATTCGACCACGAACTGTGCAAGGCCATCGATAAGACGTACGTTCCCTCAACCTTAATTATGATTATGTTCAAATAACAGACATCATTTTCACAATTGCAACGTACTTTTTCACATTATATCTGACATCCTATGCTTTCGTAATGTGAAACATTGAAGAAAATTGCTTGATTGGTGTACCGTTCGTTTTTCACTTAAGATTAAATAATGGAGGATTTGTGAGACAATATTTCCACTGTATATATGGTACTGTACTTTCAAATCAGTCACTATCCACTTATTGTGTCTCTCCAGGGAGTTCTCTGCTTGCTTAGAAGTGACCAGTCTATTGAGCTACATAGAGACGTGCAAGTTCGACCAGTGCAGAGTGAACTCCACTCCAGCTGGGTGCCCCAGCATACAATCAGCAGCAGATGACTGTGCCATGCTGGGCTATTACGTGGACTGGAGGAAAGCCACCGAAGGAGGCTGTGGTAAGAAACACCAGGACTCTCATGCACCCTTGCCCACGTCATTATTAATAAGGACTCTTACATGGTACATCTATACACTGCATCATGTATGAGGATGACTGACAGCATGTAATCGAATGGTTGGGTTCACAGACTTCGAGTGTCCTGTTGGAATGGAGTACAAGCCTGCAGGACCCAAACCGGTGGCATCCTGCAGTTCTGGGTAATGTGTGTTCCTATGAACAACCAGACAATGAAACATACAGAAGCTTTATGATCTTATCTTAATTTCTGTCAAGTTTAATGTGAATGCGTAAAATACTTGTAAAATATGGAATTGTCAACATATGTTACGAATTGCATGTAAATGTCTATGTTTGTGCAATGCAGTGGCAGTGTTGAAATGATCAGCGAACTCCGTGAAGGCTGCTTCTGTCCAGAAGGAACAATGATCTGTGACCATGCTTGCGTCCCACTACCAAGTAAGATCAATGATCTAGTTATCTTAACTATTGTCACTAAATAACACATTTTGCTATCGTCAGTATTTGGAAAATAACGCGAAATATTTATTTATTTTCCAGCTTCAACAACACCTCCATCGACTACGCAAGAAAGTACAACCTTTACCACGGGAAAACCATCAACCACTGAAGTGACAACACCAGCTGTAACCATAACCGTCCACGAACCAATTACTACAGTTGTGCTAACTACCACAACTCTGTCCACTGCTGGATCAACACCTGGCCAATCAACTGCACCCCAGTCACAAACAACATCTCCTTATGTTGAACAAACGACCACAACCCCGCAAAGTGGTGGGACACCAGTACAAACAACGATTTCAGAGCCACACCAATCTACCTCATCTGGTGAAACATCAACGGCTCCTTTATCCACCACAGCCTTCATATCCTCAGCCATATCTCTTGGGTCGTTGCCCACAACACCTGAAACAACTGCAGTGTCTACAACAGTCGACAAAGCATGTCGCTCTGTAAATCCACCACGTCAAGTAAGTGAATATTCTTAATGCCTTCATCTCGTGTAGTTTCCATGACTTGACACTATGATTAATGCATGAAATACAAGATGCTACCATGTCATGAAAGCCATGTTATTATTTTAATTTTCACATGCTAAGAATTTAAATCAAGTTCCTCACACCGATTATACTTCATCTTTGCAGTTCATGGAATCGTGGAAGGTTGACAACTGCACGATCGCCACCTGCAATGGAGGGGACAACATCTCCTACTCCACCAAAAAGTGCAGCGTCTCCACGAAACCCAAGTGCCGCAACGCAATGATGGTGTACGATGCTGATGGCTGTTGCTACACCTGGAAGTGCTTCTGTGAGTATCTTTCTCACTTTCTAAAACATACTGAATGGATTGAAACGTTATGATGGTCTCGAAACACAGCAATGGTTATGGATACTTTACGATCTGAATATCGTTAGTAAGATTCGCGATTTTTTTTGCTGCATTAAGTGCATTGCGTCAACATTCCTGTAATTTAAACTTGCCTTTCTAAAAAAATACATCATACCGTTTATTAATTGACATTTTGAGATGGCATAGTGAACTGGAATTTACAATGCTGTGAAATATGATGAATGGATGTTTTAGAATGTTGCCATGATTTAATTTATATTCATTTGTTTTGATAGTAGAATGTGTTCCAGTGCAGTGATGATTTGTGCTTCTTCTGCCCAAAGGCAACTGCAAGGGATGGGGAGATCCCCACATCCGCACCTTCGACCAAGTTCTGTACGCATTCCTGGAAGACTGCACATACACCCTGGTGGAGGAGAAGGTTAACCGCCACCATCTCTCAATCATCACCGACAATTTCCAATTCTTCCCTGGAAACCCAGCCTCCTTCCCCAGGGGCATCACCGTCAACTACAACGGCAACTCCGTCAACATGAGCATCCCAGCCATTGTCAGGAAAAGGCAAAGCATCATCACGGTAAACATCACCGCTGTTTTTTTTCGCAACCGAAGTATGTAAAAGGAAGAGCAAAATAATACATCTGTGATGCCTATGTTTGGACAATGCTAATTGATCGCACTTTTGAATTCATCCAGGTTCTCTACAACAATGAGCTGGTAAAACTACCATTTTCATCAGACGGGATTGAGATTACATCCACGGATGTTATTGTGACGGTGCACATCCCTGCAATCTACTCAACGATCGTCTTCACTGGCCAGATGTATTCGATCGATCTTCCATATGAGCTCTTTGGTGACAACACCCAGGGACAGTGTGGTAAGCGAACTCATTCAATTCTTTGGGGACAATTTGACAGGTTGCATGTCTACAACATTATTGAAATGCATCATAATGTTTTTTCCTAAAGTCACTTGGAAATTGTCTATCAACGGATCCACACTCAAAGCCCCATTATTTTCGCATTTCAGGAACGTGCAACAACCAGGGCAGTGATGACTGCGTGCGCAAGAGTGGGAAGTCAGAAGCATCTGATTGCTGCCACGTCACTGCCAAGGAGTGGATGGTGGCCGATCCCAGCAAGCCACACTGCAAATCACCAGGGCCATCGGGCAGCGTGCCTTGCCAGACTCCCACTCCAACCCCTACAGTACCCTTGTGTATTCGACCACGAACTTGTGCAAGGCCATCGATAAGACTGTACGTTCCCTCAACCTTAACTATGATTATGTTCAAATAACAGACATCATTTTCACAATTGCAACGTACTTTTTCATATTATATCTGACATCCTATGCCTTTCGTATGTGAAACATTTAAGAAAATTGCTTGATTGGTGTACCGTTCGTTTTTTCACTGAAGATTAAATATTGGAGGATTGGCTGTAGAGGCATTAATTTTTTAGACAATATTTCCACTGTATATATGGTATTGTACTTTCAAATCAGTCACTATCCACTTATTGTGTCTCTCCAGGGAGTTCTCTGCTTGCTTAGAAGTGACCAGTCTATTGAGCTACATAGAGACGTGCAAGTTCGACCAGTGCAGAGTGAACTCCACTCCAGCTGGGTGCCCCAGCATACAATCAGCAGCAGATGACTGTGCCATGCTGGGCTATTACGTGGACTGGAGGAAAGCCACCGAAGGAGGCTGTGGTAAGAAACACCAGGACTCTCATGGACCCTTGCCCACGTCATTATTAATAAGGACTCTTACATGGTACATCTATACACTGCATCATGTATGAGGATGACTGACAGCATGTAATCGAATGGTTGGGTTCACAGACTTCGAGTGTCCTGTTGGAATGGAGTACAAGCCTGCAGGACCCAAACTGGTGGCATCCTGCAGTTCTGGGTAATGTGTGTTCCTATGAACAACCAGACAATGAAACATACAAAAGCTTTATGATCTCATCTTCATTTCTGTCAAGTGTAATGTGAATGTGTAAAATACTTGGTAATATGGAATTGTCAACATATGTTATGAATTGCATGTAAATGTCTATGTTTGTGCAATGCAGTGGCAGCGTTGAAATGACCAGCGAACTCCGTGAAGGCTGCTTCTGTCCAGAAGGAACAATGATCTGTGACCATGCTTGCGTCCCACTACCAAGTAAGATCACTGATATAGTTATCTTAACTATTGTCACTAAATAACACATTTTGCTATCGTCAGTATTTGGAAAATAACGTGAAATATTTATTTATTTTCCAGCTTCAACAACACCTCCATCTACTACGCAAAAAAGTACAACCACTGTTACCTTTACCACGGGAAAACCATCAACCACTGAAGTGACAACACCAGCTGTAACCACAACCGTCCACAAACCAATTACTACAGTTGTGCTAACTACCACAACTCTGTCTTCTGGTGGATCAACACCTGGCCAATCAAAATCCTCTGCTTCTGCATTCACATCCCCAACCATATCTCATAGACCTGTGTCGACAACACCCCCTAAGATAACCAAAGCATCGACTACAAACGCGACTTCCACGGTTGCTCTGACTACTCGCTCACATGTAGAACCAACAATCAAACCTTTAACTCTTCAAACGGTTCAAGCAACCCGGCCCCTCTCCACATCCACATTCAACACATCTTCCTCTGGTATGCTTAATTGCTTTATCCACTACTTGTGCTTATGTGTTTTGGTGGAGAATATTACATTAGGGTGTATCATTGTAACGCTGTTCACCATTCTATGCAAATAAATGGAATCACTGGGCATTTTCCAAATTACTTCGTGTGCATTGTTGTTTTACAGACGTACCTTGTGTATGCAAGATTAAAGGTTTTACAGCTAAACCAGGCAAGTTCACGATTTACTATTCTCTGTTAATGCACATGTTGCACACTCGAAATGAATCAGCTGTCATCAACAATTTTTTCTGCTTAATTTGTATTTCATTCTAATGCAAACATATGTTGGTGTTTTCATCAGTCAAGTATTTTTTCGTGTTTAGTTTGTTGTCCTTTCCCCCTCACCTCCTATTAGCACACGGTTGGCTTCGTACGGTACAATAGAAGTCCAACATACATACAACATCACTTATTGTCATTGAATATTCCTATAATTATTCATCACTATCTCTATGATATATCACTAACAGTTTTTTCCAGTGAATAATTTTAAAAAATGTTTTAATGCAGATGGAACCTTGCATGTCATAAAGGATGAAGATGGCTGGTGTTACTACATGAGCTGCTCTTCAAACTGCTTTGCGATCACCACCAGCCATAGGCGGTGTGATACTGCTTCCACCAAGACACAAAACGTAACCTCACAGCCAACAACACGTCCTCCGTCGACGAGCGTGGCTCACTCCAGCTCACAGCCATCCGGATGCTTCTACAAAGACCACCACTATAAGGCATGCACCTTGAAAATGTTAAACCTTGGGTTCACTTGTCTTGAACGTATGTTGATGAATTTTGACATTCTACAACATTACCTGCTGCACAAAAAATGTTTCTGAAAAAGTTGGGCAGAAATTACGTAAAATGCAGTGGTTTTTTTTTTGCCCATTCTGACACTTATCAACTATTGCAGGTTGGTGAAAAATGGCAAATTGACAGCTGCACCACAGGAACCTGCCGTAGTGGGAACCAAGTCATGACAGAACCGGTCGTCTGCCTTAACCCACCCATGCCCAAGTGCAGGAACCCCACCACAAAGCCGGTGAAAGTGTACGATAACAACGGCTGCTGCTACACCTGGAAATGCAACTGTGAGCACTGGCGTCCAGCTGTACACCTCCACTTCTCAGATAACACAGTACAATGATGTACGTCTCACTCACAAGTTACTGCAGTATAGGTGAAAAATTAATAAGGTTGCATTGGTGAACATCTACAGAATTTGAGAGTCGCACCGTGCACAAATTGGTCACTAGACTAAAATAAAATATAAACTTGCTTTAAACACGGAAAACGAGAAGTGAATTCACGCGAGATTAAGAATCCATCACTGCGTGTGAAAAACGTCACACCTTCCAAACATACCATGCTCATTGTGAACGGTTTGTTGGTCAGAACGTATATATTCCAGGAGGATATGCGACATTTTACTGGAATGATAATAATTTAGATAGCCTCCACATACTACGAACAGTTCAGGATCTTACTTAGCTGAACAATAACTGCCACATGCAAATGAAACAAGAATTACGGGGACAAAAACCCCACATATGGAGAAACCCACACACAAGGCAGCTCAACCACTGTGATCATATACACATTGTCGATTGTGTTGTGATGTGTAATTGTCTATAGTTTATGCAGTTTTAAATCATGGATGAAATCATGCATCATAACGCTGCTTGTATGTGTCCAAACATAGGTCAGTGCCAAGGATGGGGAGACCCCCACTACCGTACCTTTGATGGTCAGAAATACACTTTCCTGGAGGACTGCACTTACACCTTGGTGGAGGAGAAGATCAATAAGTATGCCTTTTCAGTGCTGGTCGACAATTACTACTTCTACAAACAAACTCCAGCGTCCTTTGTAAGAGGCATCACCGTCAACTACAATGGGAATTCTGCAAACATAAGCCTCCCGGCTGCCAAGGGCAGGCAGACTGTTATTAACAAGGTAAATTTCCCACATACACGTCTAAAGAGGTGTCCAGGTCCCCTGCCAAAACTATTGGAAATGAATGTACCCTTGATAGACATTTCAATCGTAAAATATTTCAGCTGTTTTAATTTAGGAGGGTAGATATTTGCAAAGGAAATGGGTTACCACTAGCTTTCAGATTCATTTTAATGAAAAATTATTCCAATTTACAATTGGTGGAGGAGTGTTACACTGATTATCGCGCTGCGCTATGAACCTGACCATCCAAGTGTTATTCCTGATTACGGCTAACATCAGTGGCAAGTGATATCAGAACCGGTTCTGCACTTCCCCCCACCATCTCGCCATCACCTTCACCGAACGTACTGACATCACAGCATGGTGAAGTATGGCCAAAATCTACAATGACTAACATGGTGTGCGGAGGCCTTCATCCATTCATGGATTGAGAATGGCTGTCATTTTTTCGTCATGTAATGTACAGCCCTTTGTCTATCCACTGCCAGTTGAAAGACTCCTCATACCATGTCGGTTGTGGGGGTAGGAGTGTATCAGATATCACTTGCCACTGATGTTAGCCTGCGCTGGGAATCGAATTCTGGTCACTGGGTATATAGCACAACTTTGTATTTTAAATGAGTATCTTCACAGTTGTCACACCTGCTAAAACTGCCCTGTGGTATTTGCAGGTGATCTTCAATGGGCAGGCAGTTGCCTTTCCATTTGTGGGAAAGGGTTTTGTCATCACGAATCACGAGACACAAATATTGGTGGAGATCCCTGCCATCGGTGCCTCGGTCTCCTTCACGGGCATGATGTTCACAGTGGATCTACCCTACAGCCTCTTTGGCAACAACACCCAAGGACAGTGTGGTATGTGTGTTTGTATTTGCAAGATTTTGAATGCCCAAACCTTATTTTATTTCTTTTTGACATGCATGCATGCATGTCTGAATATATGACAGAACTTGGCCAGATTCGCTGCTGTGTCTCGTCATCTGATGTATGTCAACACTCAAGTTATTCATCTTAGCAATCTCTTCACAGGTAGAATGGATGCTGCGTTGCCCCTGAGAACACACAGTACTGAGAACACCTGATGGGTATCAAATTTACAAGTGACACATTATTATCTATTGCTGTGCCATTTTGTAATTTAATCCACTGAGGGTGTAGACCTTTAAAGATTAATGTTGAATTCGTAAACTTTTATTTTAACTAAAGTATGCACCGTCCTATTCATTTGTGGACATCGTAATAAAGTGACAAGGGGTTTGTTTCACCCTGCCGAAAAAGAAAATAAACATCATTGTGGGCCATCTTCCCATGGGCCAGCTGCAGATATGTTAAAACGCTAAAGTGGTTTTGAATTTCTGAACTCTGTCAGCTATAAAACCCTGCCGCGTTGCCGAGGTTTTATGCCAGACCTCTCTTCAAACGTGGGACCCTTTCAGCACAGGATAGCAAAATTACATAAAGTTATACAAAGTGTATTATATGCTTATTATTGTGGGTCATAAATACGAACAAGGTGTGTTTCTGGTGAGGCTCTGCAAGGAGCTGTTGTAACATGCACAATTGAAATAATATTAAAGTGTTACATGTTGAAACAGCTTCTCATCCAATTATTATTAGGAAAATAAACAGGGCCTCCACAGTACAAGTAATGTGTCAGTAACATTCTTATGGTCTCATGTGACCATTGGTTAACAACATTTGAATTATTAAATTCGTAACATGTCTGTAAGATGTTCAACTGCCCCCTGCACCTGAAATAAGGAGTCGACATCTATTGAGATTGATGACCGCCTGCACTAGCTATACGTACGTATGTTGAACTTCTTTCGCACCGTATGTAGCCAACCGTGCTAATCGGAGGTGCGGGGGAAGGACAGAAACTAAACACAAAAAGCAGTTCTAAATAAATTAGTTTTCAATCGAGATTTAAAAGTGCATAGCTCCAATGGCGTCCTAATATCGGAAGGAAGAGCGTTCCAGACGGCCGCAGAAGTGCATCTGACCGTCTTTGTTCAATGTCCAGTCAAAAGCCACTGCTGTCAGGATGTCCGGAGTTCGCGTGATGGTTTACGCTCCTTGACGAGCTCAGCAAGGTGTCGTGGTTCATTTGTGGCAAGCGCTCTGTGTGCGGCGAGTGCGACCTCGTAACGTATTCGTTCGGCCACCGGAAGCCAACGCGGCTCGGCGATCACGGACACGGTCGCACCTCGCTGCGTATGGTAACACCGGACGCAGCAAGCGGCGGCGGTAAGCCCCTGGGCTCGTGTCTCTCGCAGGCACCTGCAACAATGCCCGCGGGGACGACTGCATGCGTCAGAGCGGCGTGGTTGAGGACGCGTCGTGCTGCGCCGTCACGGCTGCCGACTGGATGGTGCCCGACGCCAGCAAGCCGCACTGCAGAGCCAAGGCACCCACCGGCCAGAAGCCCTGCCCGTCCACCACGCCCACCACGCGTCCGTACTGCACCGCTGACACCGCCACCATCTGTGACATCATCACCAGCAACAGGTGGGGGGATTTGTTGTGATGTATTGCTACTTTAGTCGTAATGACTATTTTGGATTTTATTAATGTTTAACTCTTTAATTTTACGATGTTTCTGTTGCTGTTGTTGCTGCTGCTTTTACGCTATTGTTCCTGCAAGCTTGACGTTTTAGTTTACATAGACGTGTACAACACACAAAATATTCGCTCTTAACTGATATAACCATCAAAAGTGCTGTTTGTTGCTGGCCGCTTGGTGTTTTGGGCATGCACTCAGCAACCGAGGTTCCGAGGCACAGTTGCACGTGCCACAGGCCCCCCACACACGCCCCATCCCGACACCCCTATGTTTACCACCTGATTTCAACACACGTCCAGTACAATATTCTCACTGCGGAATTTACTCTTGTGAAGAATGCTTTTTCTCACAACAAAGGATTTGTTTGGGTTAGATCGCGAGAAGTATAAATGCGTCGTCAACCCTCCACCACCAGACACATGCCAGTCAGGTTTGTCACGTAAACAAAACGCACAAAATTTGTTATTCTGTTCTGGCAAATCGCCCGATGATGCTGGATGTAATTATCAGCGAAACGTCGTACTCAAATTGTAAATGTTGTGGATTTACTCTCCAACACACCGGTGGGCTGAAGCAGTAAACTAATTGGCGCGTTTTTGTTTACGTGACAAACCTTACTGGCTGCGTCGGGTGGTGGAGGGTTGACGACGCATTTATGCTTCACGCGACCTAACCCAAAAGCCCTCATTATGAACAATATTGCTCGTAATATGAGTCGCGAAAGCCTTCTGCGCGTTAATGCTTCTCTCGCTCCCTGCCGCGTTCTTCGCAGGGCGTTTGCCGGGTGCGCCGAAGCGACGGACTTGAGCGAGTTCTTCGACTCGTGCGTCTACGACACGTGCGCCGTGCCAACGGCCCTCGAGGTCGGTTGTGCCAGCCTGCAGGTGGCCGCGGAGCAGTGCGCGGCCCTCGGCTTCTACGTCGACTGGAGAAGCCTCACGCGTGGAATGTGCCGTACGTCGCTTCCCTGAGCTCCGCCAAGTGGCACTGACAATGTGTGTCGGTCCCCTTTGCTCTAACAATGAATAATGATCATTTAGCTGAGGCTGGTTGCAATTAGCGGCGAAGCTCCATACTCGAATTGTAAATGTTCTGTTTACGTGACAACCCTCACTAATTGGCTGCGTCTGGTGGTGGCGGGTTTAACGACACATCTATATTTACGCGATGTAACAAAACGAAAAAAAACCTCTTATGGCTGTGGGAGTTTCACAGTAGAGAGCGATGTTGCCACGTGTAATCCTGATTAAAGTATTTTCAAGTATTGTTTTTGTTCTAATTTGGACCACGACAGTAGCACACAATAGCCTACTCTTTCTGGAATTATTTCATGTAATCCTTAACGTCCACTGTGAAGATTGTAATGCAGATGACTTGTTTTTAAATACCTTTAACCATTTTTATATTGTCTTATTTTATTTAGAATACAACTGCTCATCTGGATTTGAGTACCAACCCATAGGGCCTAAAGAACAGCTCAGCTGTGATTACAGGTATATATATATTTTATATAGATGCTGCTTAATACATTACATTGTATCCATTGAAGCACCTGCTATAGTTATTATTTATTGTCGCAAATCATAACCAAACTGTAATACCGATACAAGGCTTAATGATGTGTAATACACATTTATGTAATAAGCTCATAGCACATGTATTGATATGAAATCTAAATGAATATGCTTGATCTTTGAACATGTTTTAATACCATTGTACTTTACACATTGTTCAGTGGCGCGACAATCCAGACTTCCATTTTAGAAGAGGGCTGCTTCTGCCCCAAGGGAATGAAAATGTTCAACTCACAAGCACAAACCTGCGTGGTGGAGTGTGGTAAGTGGGCATTTGTCCGTACAGGTGCCACACCTAGGGACAGACTGTCCTTAGCAGTGCAACGTAACGTTCCCTGCCAGAACCTTATGTACAAGAAGTGCTGACGGTATCCGTGAAACGCAATGAATACCACGTCATCAGTGACGCATGTTTGTACAAACACCTCGATTTATTACATCTGCATTTGGTCAACCACCGTGGAGAAAGAGCGATGAGATTAGTTCATCGACAGGAGTGAGATAACATTACAGTCGCATCGTACGACTGAAGGAAGGTGACTGTGGGGAGGCCTTCACCCAGCAGAGGATTGACAACGGTTTATAATGATGGTGTATGTGTGTAAATATTGCGCGGTATTTATAATTCACGTGTTTGTTTTTTTGTGTTCTCTCTCATAGGTTGCATGGGGCCACAAGGAAAACCTGTGATGGTATTTGATAATAATAATAATGATGCATGTAGAAATAACATCACGATGACGCTAAATATCAATACAATTCACATTACAGCTCGCCTATCTTTAAAGCATGCAAACTGTTACACGAAAAAAATGCCATTGGGTTAAATGCTACTACATACATACAAGCATTTTTAAAGTTTGTGCAGACACATCATTCAACATTGAAGAACATCTCAAGTTGTTTCAGAGCTTGTGAAACGCCCATCACGAATTGCGGACACCGAGCCTTAAATGACGAAATGCTTATGCTCACGCTTTTCAGTTCGGAAACAGCTGGCAGAGTGACTGCAAGGAGTGCGTCTGTGACAAGGCGAGCGCCAGCGTCCGGTGTGCACCTAACAAATGCCCCGAAAATCCCGAGCACAGCTGCAAGCCCTGGGAAAGGCAGGAGCTCGTGACGGTTGACACACAGCCCTCGTGCTGCCCCATCTACGCGTGCGGTAAGCAGATTTCGTGCGCGGCAAAGACTCGCTATTCTACAGATTGAATTGTCCGCGTTATCCATGAGCACGCGAGTCGCTTTGACCACCCCCCACCGTGGTGGCTTCTGCCTCATCTACACGATTGCTGGAGACGAGGCTTCGCTGGCAACAGTTCTGCCTTAGTAGCAATGCGCTGCCTATCTGCCACATCCTGCATGGATCAAGAGACTGCGTGGACTTTGGACCCTCCTCGCTACCTCCTTGGCATGACCCAGGGGGTGTGGGTTAAAAACTTTTGTTTTTTGCTTCGCTAAAGTGACTTCTTTCATAGGTTAAACTTAAATATGGTTTAAGGTTTGAAAACTTTGAAGTCATTGAATATTTTGCACTCTTTCGCAATGTGTTTTCAACGCAAACCCAAGCTAGCAATGTAAAGTGGGTGAGCGTTGTTATTATGGGCGTGAGCCCCTTGCTTCGGCGTTGGCCCTGTGACGTCACGGCTGCTTGACGTGGCTGAGAAGCACGTCTGCCATGGGAATGTGGGCTCTTGAGCGCAGCCTACTTCAGGAACTGATGCCAGCAGAGTTCCTAGGAGCTGCGGAGCTTGTGGATGGGATGCGTCGGAGATAACATGCTGTCCAAATACGGACACCTACATGTGCTCGAATGAAAACCAGCACGGACAGCTGCATTGGCCAATCAAGAGCAGGTGTGGTTGTTCGGGTGTGGAGTATTGCCATTGCAGGGTACCAGAATGTGGTAGGGAGGTGGGAAAAATATAGTCCTGGCCCATGTCTGGATAGATGAGGCAAACTTGCGTGATGTGTGATGGTGTTTCTAATTCTATTTAAATCAACGCTCAGTACATCTAAAATACAAAACACTGTAAAATAGGGATAATTTTTTGTCAACGTTTTAATAAATAATAGTTAGCAAAATTCTATCAGCGCTAACATTTGTTTAACTCTCTTTTCAGTGCCACGCAAAGACATATGCTTGTATAAAGAGGAAATGTATCAGGTATGTGTGACAAGCATTTCAGTATACGTATATACACTCGTTAAACAGCATCTGAGGACATGTTTGTGATACATCTATTAGACAATTTCATCTTGCATCGTCCATATTTACACTTGGAGCTAGTTTACATATGACAAACTGTGACTTTGTGTCCATACAGTTTTTTTGTAAAAGCCACATTGATCTTTCCCCTTTTATGCAGATTGGACAAACGTGGAACAAACCAGGAAACAACTGCACGCAATTTATCTGTACCAGCATCAATGAGCTCGCAGTGGTGGAAGAAAAAACGATTGTCTGCAAAGAGTTTGACATCACCAATTGCATCAAGGTAGGTGCCAGACTGCCTGAGTGATCACAGCTTTTAGGCACGTCACATCATTTGTTTACCAGACGTGAGTTCACTTATTTCAACATCCATTTTGTTCTGCTGTGAATATAGAATGCTAAGGTATTCTGGTTCCCCCACCCCACCCACCTTCTGAATAAATTTAAATTTCACGATAATTTTCTAAAATATTTTAAAGTTTTCTTTGTAATAATAATTTAGTCGATATTGGTGAGCTAAAAACGTAATTTTAAAGGAGTTGTTTTTAGTTTGTAGGTTGAAATATATGAATTGTTAAGTGAAGTACTGATTGTGCTTGCAGGACACAGTGACAACCGATGAATATGGATGCTGTAAGACCTGCTGTAAGTGCCATCATTTGCACTGTATGACTGCCACAGTGAAACATGTTCATAACACGATATGCCACAGTATTGCACGTGCGTGTAACTAGCAATTTTGTGGATTGCCAAATTCCTCAGTTTCATCAAACACGATAACATTTCCCACAAACGTTTTCCATATCAATTGTTAAAATCAGCCAATCACCACTGAACATCATTTGTCAAGACTTCACAAATTAATACCGGAATTGCTGACATTTGTTTTGTTTCCTAACAGCTATTCCAAAGTTAGCATGCCGTATCTTTGAGATGGATGCAACTGTGAGCCGTCCCAGGTGTGAGCCGAAGAATATCACCCTCTCCACCTGCGAGGGAACGTGCGCATCACGGACATAGTGAGTACCTGCCTTCATAGGTTCTGCTTTGCAATTAACCCAGGGAGCAGGAGTCGGCAACCGGTCAAAGAAGCAGAGAAAAATGTTCTTTTTTTTTGTCTTTGAGAAAAATATTTCGAGAGCCGCATCAAGCTCAGAGCTACTCGTGCACATACAAAACACGTAGCAGGTATAACACAGGTTTTTTTTATTTATTGGGGGGGGGGTTAGATCGTGTAAATATATAAATGTCTTTAAACCCGCCACCACCCGACACAGCCAATTAGTAAGGTTTGTCACGTCAACAGAACGTGCCAATTATTTACGAGTACAGCAACACCGGTGTGTTGGAGAGCAAAGCCACAACATTTACAATCTTGAGTACGACGTTTCACCAGTAACTACAACCGGCCGCTAGGGGGCAGCCGAAGATCCGCAAACGGCTCCGGAGCCGTATGTTGCCGACCCGTGCCCCAGGCTAACGTAAGATGCGCAGACTTACATAGGGCCCAAATATACCTACATATTAACCTCGAAAACATACACTCTTATTGTAAACATTTAATCTACAGACTTATATAGTGTGTATAAAGGTGATTGATAGAGAAACCATAGATTTTCATTAGACCTATAGATTTGCATTGACCCATTATCATCGTGTCACTGGGAACAATCAACGCCCTCTTTATTCTGCCAAGTGAATGGCGAAATGAAAGAACCTAGAATTTTATGAGCGCATGTAAATAATAGGACCATCAATAGGTGGCTGGTTGGCTGGAATTCAAGCAGCTGTCCGTGATTAAAAAGGGTTCTTAAAAGTGTCGTCAGTTGATGTTCTCAGCCTTGTCACCAAAAAAAACCCCCATCGTATTAAATTTGGTATTGCTATTCATTTGACATATTCCAGCTGTTTGAGAATTAAAATTGTCAGATTGACTGTCATGTGACAAAAACATTTCTCTCTCTAGCAGGTCAGGTGGGAAAGTGTTGCCCCCTAGTGTGGATGAGGTCACATGAAGAGATTTTAGTAACAGTCCTATGATATCTGCTGCATTCAACCGTTCTCTAACACGAAGTGATGCAGTGCTGTGTGAGATTTACAATTTGAATTATTTGTCTCATGACATGACCCTGGTGGCATAATCAGTATTTAAAGTTACGGGGAAAAGACCAAAAAATAATGACACCATCTCTTCAATTTGGACTACATTTGACCACAATCTTTAATTGTGTGTACTGTTATCTTCCAATTTGTGTATTAGATTTAAATCTAATTATGCTGCGTAATAAAATTCCAAGTTATAAAAGTTACTGAAATGTGTCTTGCTAAAGACAGGGATTTCCAAATTCCATTTCTTGTGAGTTGCCATGGTCTGCCCTCTTCAATGTTTACCAATACAATTCTCTGTTCAAATACAAATAAAATCAGCAAATGTGGTTTAAACAAAATAGAGCACAAATACATATTGTCTACTGTTTACTTGGTTTGTTACGCTATTACAGTGACATTGTTGACATTTCTACATACGGTAGAGACTGGATCTGGACATATTGTATTAAAAAACCTATCCCTTTCTACAGCTTCGACACGAAAACCATGAACATGGCATCCACGTGTGACTGCTGCAAGCCCCAAGCGACGGAGGAACGCACGGCTGTGCTGGATTGCAAAGGCGTTAAAACACCCATTCAGTACACGTACATTAAATCGTGTGAGTGCAAGCTCTGCAAATAGCCATGCAGGAAAGAACATGACAATGAAGACCGTACTCTATTCATGAAATATGAATACGTGTTATCCAATGTAGTATCTTTACTATGCATAATACTTCAATAAGCAGTTCTATATTCATTCACTATATATTCATTAGCTCTATATTGTATGTCAACACACAAGCCTATCTGATTATATTTTATATATGTAATCTTAATCCCAATGATGTTGATCAAATATGAAACGTGCCTTTCTAATTACGGTTTATGATACAATACTGTACAATTTCAATACTACAATTAGAATTTATATTGTGTCTAAATACAACTACATCACAAGATGTTGTGATGTTTCCATGATTACAAAAAAAAGATTTGCAATGGAACTTGACAGTACAACTTCAGAGTCTCATGGAAATGTAAGGCCAATAACCAAATAGGGTTGCCACATTTTCCACAGACTGAGCTCAGACATTTCTCAGTCCACCTAGGTCTATACAAACTATGCAGTATAGTGTAATAAAGTGCAACACAATGCCACCAGATCTTGGTACAAATAAATTCCTGCCGCCCATAGATTCAAATTCTCTGACTATCCGGGTCAAACGTGGACCAGGTGGTAATGCCACTCCCAAGTGAGGTCAACATTTATGCGTACCCCATGTACATTAATCAAAATTGACTGATTTAATCTAATGCAGTTTCACAAACCCCAGGTCATGGTCCTTTCATTTGAAGGATGCCACGTTTTGTTTGGGCGTGACACTGTAGAAATAAGGGAATTAACTCATCACTACAGATGTGGGGAAATAAACCGAGTCGCTGGCACTACTGCAGATCATAGGTCAGATTTTCATATGATTACAGATCTTCCTTTGCGCGTACTCATAAGTGGTCCTTTCCAATTCCTACTTGGGGATACTTTTTTTGTTTCAATGAAGAGTTAGCATTAGATTTAGGGGTTGTAGTTTCAGGTTAGGGACATTTGCCAAAGACAGCTTTTCTTGTGTTGAGTCTGCAGGAAGAGGAGTCAGAAGTGTATCTTTTTTTGAATGTTTTACATGGCAATGACGGTACGCCTTTTGGCGTTATCTGGTCGAGCACCAATTGGGTCGAGGCTCAAAAGAAAGCCGTCCCTTGGTGTGGACCAATCAGTTTCAAGGACAATGCATATATTATCATAGTATGTTTTTTGTTTGCATTTTGAATGCAGGTATTGTGGTTAATGCAGACATGAATCCTTGTAAAAAGGTTTCAGTTTTGTTGCCAGAAAAAAGGGGAAAAACCCTATTATTATTATAATGACAGTACATTTTACGTAAACAATTGTGAGCATAAACAACATCGTGAAAATGTAACACAAAGACAAATGTTGGTGTTCGTGCCTGCAATTCTATAAATAAAGCTGCTTATTAAGTTGTATACTTGCATTGTATTTTTTGTTTCCTTTGATTAGAAAATGTGACGCATAAATGTTGGTGTTTTTTCTGTTTTTAGACATGCATTCCAATGAATGGCATTATATGAAAAAAACTAATTGGGGCATTATCTTGATGTGAAAAGGCAAATGTTGCCTTTTTTATTGGTCAAGGACCTAAATTTTTGTTTTGAATACTCTGCCATGAAAGATTACTCAGAAGCAATCGTAATGCTGAAAGTATGTGATGTAAAGTGCAAGATATGAAACATGCTGTACAGTATTTGGCAAAATGCTATTGCATGTAATGCATAAATTTCATTTGCATTTTACTATGCATGAGAATTGACAACACAATTCAATTTAAATATGACTCAATACATCATACTTAAAATCTCGATTTAAAGCTTTCGTCACTGCAAGGATTCATATTCTTTGGTTCTTTCGGTAAAGTCACGTAGAATGAGAATAAAATAATAAATTGATAAAATAAAATAACACAATAATATTCTCACGACGTTTCGGCCACAACACAAGCGGCCTTCATCAGGTGAAGGGTATCCTTTGTGAAGTCATTCGTGACTAGACATTAACCATTCATTTATTTTAGCTTCCCAGATTCAAGCCCAGGATCTCATTGACACCAGCTCAGCATTCTCAGATGGGTCACCACTCGTGTTGTAGGCGTGGGTCTGCCAGTTGACCAGGAGATGGCAGTGTTGAGTGTAATCCTTACTGTGGGTGGTGGGTTTTCGCTACGTACTCCCGATTTTCTCCCACATTACAAATTCCCGAAGTGGTATTTGTATTCCAATGCTGAGGAAACTATTGGTATTGCAATGATTATTAACGCACAATGGACCAAATTACCAGGAATGGGTGCCATCATGAGTCCAAGAAAAATGCAGCCTAAACTTTGTTTTTAATACATGTATTGTATCGGGTAACGTTCAATTAAAGTATTTAAGGAATGCAGTCAGAACTTTGAGGACTTGAAATTAATTTCAGCTGTGCACAGTCAGCAATACAATTAACAGCAGCAGACATTCTGCCGGCAGAAAATAAAAATCACACGCAGAATTAAAATGGGTATACAGATGCATCTCATTAAGATCGATTATTCTCCCATGAAACATGGGACGAGAATTTGCCGATTGGAATCTATGTTTTTCAATGTATGCGACTGATATGCTAGTGACACGTTACACTCAGGCTAAGGTAATGGTGAAAACCGTACAAACGACACAGCATAAAAAAAGTAGTCGACGTGCAACGTTGGGCCAACGTTTGCATGTGGTGGGAACTGTTTGAGCAATGACCCAATATCTCATGTTCACTGGATATCGATTTCCTTCCACCAATCAATATAAACGAGACTAATTTGCATAACACTAAACACTAAAGCATGCGCAAAAAATGCATGCTCATGGCCAATTCTATTGTTAGTTTTTTTTTTATAAGGCACCAGATAAGGCACAATGTCATTTCACTCTCAGGCACTGATCTAATTGGCAATTAGCAATCTGCACGCAAGCCTTTATTATAAATAGGCATGGCATATGCATGTGCCTCGTATCCCCATCCTCAATAGTGGATACGATGAAGAATTGGGCAGGGTTGTGTGCCCTGGTTTGTGCAGGTGCGTAAAGGTGCCGTGGTTTATCCAAGTGCATGAAGCTGGTCTTCGCCTGACAAAAGTTTTTTTTTAATAGAATAATTAACCCGATTTTTTAAAAATGTATCTCCGATCGGACACTAACTACTCCAACAATGTGTTTCTCGCAAAAGCTTGTATTTAATGACGTACCCATTGGAAACCGCTCACTTTTAAGCATTCCGTTTTATTAGCAAGAACCAAAGATAATGACCGTAACGTGCCGAGAGGAAGGTCTTGTCTTATAGTTTTCGGATTTGAACATCAAAGTTTTTTTTTTCCATTCAAACCAACTTTAATGCGAAATATCTGAAACCATAAGATAAAACAATGGCTCTTTCATTAATACATTTTATGGCTAACGCTCTAATACTATAAAACCTGCTATCTTGTCTTTTGAACGTTTTCTGAATGACCCCACAAACATGTTTGTGGGGCACTTAAAATCTAGATTTGGGGGGGGGGTGCTTAAAATGAAATGTATCGGCTTTTCAGATATTTTCTGTGTCCTAAAAGCTACCTAATGTACCAGATTTTCCGCCTTGTTGAGAAGTACCCTAGAGGCTTTTGAGACGAGAGTTCAAGGGCTTTATATTGGTTTATATTGGTGTACAATTTATAAATACTTTGGTGGCTACCGCTATTTATGGAGCTAGTCTAATATTTTTAAAGACCTTCCAGTAGTTTGACTGTCTCATGCATGGTTTTAATATCGAACCTGACGCTGAAGTTTCCTTGGTGGCAACTCCTGACCTATCATTGTTTTGTGTAACTGTTTTTTAGATCATTAATTTGGGTTTAAAGAAAAAAAATCGGTCGTGTTAATCTGCAAATTGAAACAACTGCACGTGGATAATCGATTCAACTGTACTATCAAATACTTGCAACCCTGACGTTCACTTGAGCGTATGTGGGTGGCTGGTGCCATTTTCTTGGTAATGCAGTAACGCTGATGCATGGTCCCTGCACTGGCCACCCACCTGGTCAACCCACACGTTGACATTACCATGTACTGTACACGTCTAAAGTGGCCTGGAAATTAGCTGTTGGTTAAAAATGTTTTGTACAAATAGTTGCGTGAGATGTGGTGCTTTTTTATGCACGTGACCCAGCGGCGCTTATGGTGATCACGGCAGAGCCTCCAGACCACGAGACTGTGCTTCCAAATGGTAAGTTGGCACGTGAAATGCAATGCCACAAGGTTGGATTGCATGACCTGGCAACGTTTCAAGGCTTGCCACATCTAATGATTTTGTGGCCTCTGCATGCACCTACTCCTACATACTGTATAAATTAATTGCTTTATTGAAGTCTAACTGATCCCACAATGCAGGTTATTCCAGTATGAAGTGCCTACCATTTTAAAGTAGTTATCTGTTCTATGTAAAGCGGTTTTTGCTATCGCTCAAACCAACCCTGTGAGTGCCATCTCCACGCAATCCCCTTTAGACACATTTACTGCCCAAAAAATACGCATTTTCTGAACCATATGCTCGCTACCTACTTTAAGAGTACGAGACGTCATCTATCCACGACAGTAGCGTGATCTTGCATTGAAACCCTACTCTTTGGTATGTTTATTAACTACCCCTTCCCCCAGCTGGATTCCTCGTCAAACCTGCATCACGCCACCTACCGTTCCGTTTGACATTAAAATTGGCGCCATTTGCAGTTAACACTTGGCTATGGAAATGCGTGCTCTTTTTTTTATCAATGTGCCAAACTTAATTTATTCTTAAATGGGGTTTATAGACTATGCCTGTTTCTTAATTCTGTTGACTTAAAACAAATACTTGTTGGTTCCCTTTCTGTGTCAAACCATTTCTAATGCTTCAACTTGTAGTTCCATTGTAAAGGAACATGCATTTAACAAGTTCGTTAGCTTAAACATTCACTTGTGTAACACACCAGATTTACATGGTGACAAGGTTAAGGTTGTGACACTGGGTGCCCATCTGTTACGCAGTTTTCCCATTTATCTGTACCCCGACTTCAGGATGCTAAATTATCGGTACAGAAAATGAATAACTTGGTCGCAGGCTTCACTCTTGTGTGCAGGGAAGACCCAACCAATGACCGTTTTACCCAATTCGGTTATTTTCGCTACAAAAGTGAAGGGAAGGCTATGGCTAAATTGGGATCTGATTGGAATATAAAAAAACAGTTTTCAGGTTTACTGTACGATACCGCGTATGTTTTGGTTCTTCAGAGGGTGTGTGCAGCACTTGGGGAGATGGATTTGTGAAGACCTTTGATGGATCCTTCTTTCAACTGCAGTCCAACTGCTCTTATACACTAGCCCGAGATTGCCGGTCACCATTCCAGGAGTTGAACGTTGTGATAACGCGCATCAATGGAGTCCACCTTAGCATTTTGATCCAAACCGAATCTGATATGGTGACGATATCTGATGGAATCTTATCACTTGGACAACAAAGGTGAGGAGGAGAAGTTGAAACCTTGAATGCTGCCAATGATGTATGCGGTTTGCTGTAATTGTCTTGCATTAAACATCGTGCAGTCTTTTATTCTTAACTAATTGAGCAACTGCGTTCTTTGAATTCTTCTACTAATGTCCAATGCATTTTATGCTAGTGTGTAGTCTCCTGTGGGAATAATTCACCCATGCTCTTTTGTGTACTGTACTTTAACTTTTAAAAGCTTTTGCCATGCCCTGGAGGTAACCATTTTATACTTTCCCAGCGTGGTGGTGCCTTACATCAACACTCGGCTACACATCACTCGGTTTGGGATGGGACTCAAGATCGCCCTACGCAATCCTGGTATAAAGATAATCTGGGCCCAAGACGTCTTGTTGGTATGTAGTGGATTTGTGACGGTTCTTAACCACCTTTTGTAAGTGGCACCCCTGGCATTCCTTTTTAAGATCTTTTGCTCAATTGCTGTTGTGAACTGACTGACCATGTGCCTTAGGTGGTGGTTGGCAGAGGTGCTCGTGCTGGCATGTGTGGACTTTGTGGAAACTTTGATGGTCAAAAAGAGCTGAGTGCTAATTATGGTAAACTCTCAAATATCTATTTTCATATCTACTATACGTAATGGCACTTCCATGCTCGTTGTCGAACACTGAACTTGCACTGAAAGTCGCTGTCAACTGTAGTTAATCCACTGCATGGGGGCAGCATAGCTAATGTATGTTGAAGGTTTACACTGCAAATTGAATATTTCTGTATGCAGAAAATATGGACTTGCTGGCATACGCGTACCCACAGAGACTGAACCAGGAGTGTGAGGTGAAGAGTGGCCCAGTGTGTTCTGAACCTTGGGTAAGTAGGCAAGTGTACCCTGAACCCCCCCAAATTGGGAGAATTTACATAGGTGGCTTTTAATTATACATACAGCATGGAAACTTGGTAAACCTATTGTACTTCGTAATGCAACAATCTTTTCAAACAAAGCATTGCTTTAACTTGTCCTATATATAGACCTTTTTAATGGAAGATTCTTTAAAATAGTCCCTTTATCTTGCCTTTGCCTCCCAAAGATGTGGAGCACCTGCAGTTTGGCAGTACAGCGCATGGGTCCATGTGACGTGCCTGCATCTGGCTTCGTGGCGATGTGCATGAACGAGCAGTGTCATTGCGAAAACCAAACCATGTGTGGCTGCCCCTCGCTCACCGCCTTCTCACTCGAGTGCGTCATCGGAGGTGCCACTTTGGCCTCCTGGCGGACGTCGAACCTCTGTGGTACGTAAACCTTCCTGGGGGGGGGGGGGGTCTATAGTGCCTTAAGATAAATAACCAGTGAAATGCAAATGATGTAATAGTATATATTAGCATCATTTCCCCCCCCCACCCCGTTACGTCTCGGGCATATTTGACCTCTTAAGATGCCTATAGCATGGCCTAGTTGTATTTAAGTCTCCAATTTTGGCCTATTCAAAGGTAATGCTGCAAGAGCAAACCTGGACATGAATCTTGAAAAGCCCATATAGGATTCTGGTTTTAATATGCCATCTGCTGATTATGACTAATGAACACTGCCTTGTCTTTTGTGCCCACAGCGCCCCAGGATTGTCCTGGTGACCTTGTATACGAGGAGTGTGGCTCCACCTGCCCACAAACCTGTGCCAACCCCTTCCAGCCCATGTGCCAGGGTTGTGTACCTGGCTGTTTCTGTCCACCTGGTGAGCCATGGGCCTGCAATGTTATAATTATTATTGAATTATTTTTTTTTACAGTGAACCGCACGTGGTTGAAGAATGGTAGACATTGGCATATTGCTCCGTTTGCCACCAGCAAGCATTTCAAAAAGTATAGCACTTTCTAATAGTTTAATTAAAAATGCTTGGGTTCATGTTCAACAGCTGATGTAAAGCGACATCTCATTTCTGTATGGTGTTCTACTTGAATTGCTGTTTAACTTTATTTCTAAAGATTTCTCCATGAAACGCTAACATGCTTTAGATTTTGGTTGCATACAAATGAATTGACTTTTAGTTTTTGCAGATGTGAACTAAATTTTATATATAACCTTGTGTAAATTCAGAAGTCTGATCTTCAACCACCCCCTTTAAACAAAAAAAATCCCTCGCCACCTGGTTTGCAATAAAGCAGCACGCTCCTTCCCTGGTTGAACATGGATCCTCTTTCTTGCCATCTTTGCCTGTCTCATGATCTTGCGTACCATGTCATCTGCTTTTCTCGTCTCTTGGCTGCTCAACTGCAACCTAAAATCCTCCCATATCTAATGGACTGCATATTCTTAGCTTCTTGATTCGCTAAGTCGTAACGTTTCACCGCCTCATTGTTTTGCAGACTCTGTGCTAACCGTGAGCAATGGGACTACCTGCGTGTTCCTAAGCGACTGCAACTGCACTCTGAATGGAGACGTGTACGCCCCTGGTGCCATTTCTCAACAGGGTTGTCGAAGCTGGTGTGTTTTAAACATCCTGTTGTGGGACACCACCTAACTAGTTTTTTAAACCCAAGCACTTGCTAAGCAGGGAACACGTTTGGCATCTGGCTTGGTCTAGCGTTTTATAAAGCATTGATTGATGTGCAATACAAATTGACACAACTCGTGACATCCTATTGCAGTGTGTGCGAGACTGGCCAATGGAGCTGCAATTCCCTGCCGTGTGCCGATGGTTGTTCCCTGGAGGGTGGCTCCAACTTCATCACGTTTGACCACAAGTCATTCAGCTTCAATGGGAACTGCTATTACTACCTTTCCATGGTACTGCTGTTTGTCGCACATATTCTTGCTGTTGCGCATTTACACAAGGGTTAATTAGAGCAATCCTTTTCCAAAGTAACACTTCCACGTACTCATTCAAAGTAAACGCCTTCAGTTTTCACCAGCCTGAATAGACTTCCCAGGCAGTTGCTGTAGAAACATTATTTGGTATCTAATCTGAAATAATAATAAGATTTCCACCAAGTGAAACTACTAGAATTTGGCATTTGAGGTCCTAGATATTTTATGCAGTTGCAATGTGTAAAATAATACATTTGTGCAAGTTAAATTTTGGCTTAAAATATATATCCGTGATTGAGTTATAAAAAAATTGGTATTCTGAATTGGTGACCCCCCCCCCCCCCCGGAACAAGCATGCCAAATCTCCATCTTGCACAGACTTTTAAAATCTTTATGAAATGGTCTGATTTCACATTCACCTTTTTTCCATTGTTCCTTTTGAGCTGTACCATTTTCTAAGACGTCTCTCAACGGTTTTTTCCAAGATCTTCCTTGATATGCTCACACCTCCCTCCACCTTGGTGATCAAGGATATTGTTATAACAAGCCGACCTAATCTAGCTTGTGACACTTGCAGCAGCTTCCTACATCGTTTGTAATATGTACTTGAATTTTGCATTCTTACATTAGCCCAAATATGCTACTAATTCTTGGTGACAAGCCTATCCATGGTGACTATTTCAGTGAAGCAAGCACTTGCACATGATTTTGTACAGTTTCTCCATGGCCTTCATTTGCTTTGCCAGAGTGCTGATTGGGTCATTGAAGTTCTACTCCGACCATGTTCGTCATTTCCAGTAGAAAGGGCTTGCTTGAAGAGCGTGACTCTGAAATCTCAATCGGTATGTACAAAAAGCTACACTTAAGTGTTCATGTTCTAGATTTAAAGCTTTCGTGACTGCAAGGATCCATACTCTTTGGTTCTATTCGGTAAAGTCACGTAAGGTAAAAAATAATAGTAATAAAACAACAAATCACGACGTTTCGGCCAAAACACAAGCGGCCTTCATCAGGTGAAGGGACCAGGCTGTCTCGAGGACAGCGCTGGAGTGAAACACAGCCATGCTCAGACCGCGACCTTTAAGCTGTGTGCGAGGAAACGAGGTGCCTTGACAAAGGAATTGGCATAAAAATTAGCATTTGATTGGCCGACTTAGCATGATGAACGGTGTAGAGGTGTACATGCGGGTGAACATGCCGGTTGGTGGGAGGGGGAGTTTACCTATTGATGGTGTGAAAAGGGAAATTTTAAGAGCTGCGAAAGTTTGGGGTACCACTACTTGAAAAATATACTGTACCATTGAAAATTAATGTTTGGTTCGATTTAGAACATCTTAACAATGGTTTTTAATTTGAAACCATCTTCTCGGTTTAAATTGTCTGTTTGTATATCTGAATTGCCTCGTGAACAAATCTGATAAAAACCCGTGGGTTTGCAAAGAACCTTGGTATCGGAGAAAATTGCATCACTCACCCACAGCGTTGTAACAGTGATCAGCTACGGCAGAAGAATTCGTTCTGCTGTGTTTCAAATCTGATTTGTGCTCACGAATTCGGTCAGACATGTCGTTTCATCTCCGATATGGCAGTCACCACAGGTGCAGCTCAGTTTGTAAACCCCGGGGTACTGCAAGTCAGGAACGACATCCTTCAGATGGGATCGGGTCATGGATTTTGTGTACTGTATTGAACCGGACCAGGATCTTGTGTTTGTTTAGAATTTTGGAGATCTTTTTAGTAATGCCTGCTATATATGGTAGTGTGGTGGTTTTGATCGGAGTATCAAGTGGTTGTTTCTGTATGGAGGGAGAAACAGCTTGGCGGATGGTACGGTCAGAGTATCCATTCCTTTTGAGGGCTAGATGTACATATTTTAATTCACTGGTCAGGTGGTGTTGGTCCGAAATGCAATGAGCCCTATGGTATAAAGTTTTGAGAGAATTATTTTGGGCTGGGTGGTGGTAGGAATCGGGCTTCAAGTAGGAATCTGTGTGGGTGGGTTTCCTGTAGACGGAATACCCCAATGAGCCATCAGGTCTCCTCTCAAACAGAACATCCAAGAATTGTAGCTTGCCATTTTTCTCCACTTCCATGGTGAATTTGATGGCGGGATGTCTGGAATTGATATGGTGTAGGAAAAGGTTCAGAGCTGGGAGGCCATGTGGCCAAATGACAAAAGTGTCATCTACATATCTCTTCCACACAAGGTCTGAGGGTAGAAGTCTGGATGGCGTCTTATTCAAATTTCTCCGAAAATATTGGCTATCACTGGTGACGAGGGGGATCCCATGGGGGTACCCTCATTTTGTTTGTAGAAGGAGCCATTCCAAGTAAAGTAGGTATTGTTGAGGTAGTGCCTAACCAGTGCAGGTGTATTGGGGTCTAGTCCATGTTGGACCAAATTTTTCAATTATTTCAATGGTATCGGGTACTGGGACCTTGGTGAACAAAGACCACATTGAAGCTGACAAGGATATCGGCAGGGGACAGTACAACGTCTTTGACCATAGAGACCAATTGGGCTAAGTTAAGTACTGCTGAGGCGGTCTTGCCAGTGAAAGGCAGCAAGGTATCTGACAGATAACGGGCTAGTCTATAGGTAGGGGAGTTGATCATGGATACGATGGGTTGTAGTGGGGTGCCTTTTATGAATCTTGGGAAGACCATAGAATCTAGGGGGTCTTGCAGCAGAGTTTTAGGGAAGGACGTTTAGTTGGGTCGATTAGGGAGGTCGAACTTGTGATTTTTGTTGGTTTTTATCGCTAGGCTATTGATACTACGGTCAAAACCATCACACTACCATATATAGCAGGCATTACTAAAAAGATTTCCAAAATTCTAAACAAACACAAGATCCAGGTCTGGTTCAATACAGTACACAAAATTCATGATCTGATCCCATCCGTGAAGAATGTCATTCCTGACTTACAGTACCCCAGGGTTTACAAATTGAGTTGTACCTGCGGTGATTGCTATATCGGAGACGAAACGACATGTCTGACTGAATTCGCGAGCACAAATCGGATTTGAAACATGGCAGAACAAATTCTTCTGCCGTGGCTGATCACTGTTACAACGCTGTGGGTGATCACGATATAATTTTCTCCGATACCAAGGTCCGTTGCAAACCGACAGGTTATCAGATTTATCCACGAGGCAATTCAGATTTACAAACAGGACACAATTTCAACCGAGAAGATGGTTTCAAATTAAGCAACCATTGGAAAGATGTTCTTAATCGAACCAAACATTAAAATAATTTTCAATGGTACAGTATTTTTTCAAGTAGTGGTACTCCAAACTTTTGCAACTCTTAAAAATTCCCTTTTCACACCATCAATAGGAAAACACCCCCCCCCCCCCCCCCCCCTCGCCAACCGGCATGTTCACCCGCATGCACACCACCTCTACACCGTTCATGCGAAGTCGGCCAATCAAATGCTAATTTTTATGCTAATTCCTTTGTCAAGGCACCTTGTTTCCTCGCACACAGCTTAAAGGTCGCAGTCTCAGCGTGGCTGTGTTTGACTCCAGCACTGTCCTTGAGACAGCCTGATCCCTTCACCTGATGAAGGCCGCTTGTGTTGTGGCCAAAACGTCGTGATTTTTGTTGTTTTATTATTTTTTTTACCTACGTGACTTTACTAAATAGAACCAAAGAGTAAGTGTTCATGTTGCCTAATAACAGGATGTTTAAGGTGTGCTAATTCTAGGTGGCAATAGCTTGCAGTGGCCACCTGCTGCACTTGTTAAGGGACTTCAACAAAGGCTTGCTAATGGCACCTGCTATTTAAAACCCAATTTGAACTCTTTAAATATGGTTTCACTCTTCCCGTGGTTCTCCATAATGGCAATTCATACAATTTGAGTTGGCTTTTTTAAATGGTACTCTACATGCTTTATACGTTTGCATGCCCTTCATAGAGCATAGACCATCAACTGCATTTTCACCTGCTATGACTGACCTATGAATCTAAATGTTGTTTTTTCATTACCAGATGTCCTATGAATTCAAAAGCAATGGCAACATCCTATCCTCTAAAATGATTGTCCCGCTGCCTCACGAGTCCGGTAAATGTAAATGCTATACCAGTGAACTATGGTTCTTTGCATCTTTTAGCTCTTGGGGAAATTGTAATGTTGTGCATTTGTACTAATGTCTATTCCAATGTTGCAGGCAAAATCTCAATTTATAAGACCTCTTCAATGTTCCTGCAAGTGTTCACGTCATTTGGCCTAAAAATGCAGGTGCAGATCTCTCCCAGCATGCAAGTGTATATTACACTGCCTGAAGAATTTAGGGGCCATACAAAAGGTAATCTTCAGGTTTTTCACAAATGGAAATACTTCTCAACAATTGCCATAAATTGCACCACTGGCTAAAACTTCCCATTTTAAAAAAAATTCTGACCTGAGCTACCACCTGCACCAAATGTGTGTGACAGGGCTGTGTGGAAACTTCAATGGAGTTGCTACGGATGACTTCATGTCCAGCCAGGGCCTGGTGGAAGGCACGGCTGTTGTGTTTGCCAATTCCTGGAAGGCAAGCTCTGATTGCGAGGACATTGATACAGTGGTTCAAGATCCGTGCCTACTCAACATGGCCTCAGGTAGTTCACGCTTTTCGATTCCTTCCTATTTGAAAGGATGTGTGAAAAAGAAATACATTAGTGCGTCTAGGCCTCCATAACAGGAGGGGACCACAAGTGAAGATTTAATGTGTGTAACCTTGGTATACTAAAGGTTCCTTGGAATTGGGCGTTTGGCTTTTAGTGAACTGGCCAACCTTGGTTCCCCAAGGCTTGGACACACCCAAGGCAAAAAGGAATTTGCATAATGCACCATTTTTGCCCTGATGGCCATCTTTCTCAAATGGTAATTGCAGAGTTCCAGAATCTGCCTTAATTTTCCTAAACCTTTATGCAAATCTATGGACAGATGGTTTCAGTGTTTGTTCGTGTACCACTGCATAGTAACATCCTTAATTATATGGAAGTAAAGCCTTTGAACTGTTTATTTCGCCAGCGGAAAGCGCCGAGCGCAAGTGTTCCATTTTACGAGCACCTTCTGGAGTATTTGCACAATGCCATCACCTACTAGACCCCTACAGATACTACAAGGTAATACTTTTTTTAAATGAAGCTCGTTCATAAAAAAAATTGCATGCACTTATTAATTGCTAATACATTCGCTCTAAATGGTGGCAATCGGTTTCTGCAAGCTTGGAAACTTCAGGTTTTGATCTTAATTTGTGGTGTTCCTGGCTTTTAAAGGTCCATAATTTCATCTCCCATGCTGTGGCAATTTGTAATGGGTGCATTTTTCATATCCTCTTATCCACGTATTATAAGTGAGTACGACAGTTCAATTCATTGTCGGTGTAGCCTGGCCATTGGAAAAATGACTGCCCGAGAAGAAGGCTCTACTGCTCTGGACCCCCTTCCCTCTAAGAGTATGGGCAAATACAGTGATTGCATGATTGGAACTTTGTCCTTTACCGTGTGGTCAGAGGTGCATGTCAGATGCGTGCAGCTGCCCAGCAGGCCAGGATTGTGTGACGGAGACTCAGTTTGCCTATGCCCGTGCCTGTGCATCCAAGGGCAATGTGCTGCATGGATGGAGGAGAGCCACTGGTAATGCTGCACTTAACACTACCATTTTGGGAAGGGGTCTAAGAATATCGCTTCCAATTAAAAAATATCTGGGATATTGGGTAGATGAAGGGTTCTGCAATTGACCAGCTCTCACCTAATCGTATGGGCAGTTGCCCACCATGCTCTCCATTTGAATGACTGGCATTCTGCTTGGTGTGCAACCTCCAGTCATTTGCAAGTGCTGAATTGACTGGCGACTAGCAGGACAAATTTTAATTATCATGCCTTTAACATTGCCACGAGCGCACTATGATAGAGACCCAGGAATTTGCATTGATTTGATGCGTCATTCCTAGCCAGTCCATACATTCCAATGCGACGCATAGTCACGTTGTGGGTTTGTGTTAACTTGACAATTCCAAGGGTTGCAACAATAGCGTTTTTAAGCTTGGCAACGATCGGCAGGCCAGTTGTATGCCATATTTTTATTGGCTTGTCTGCTATGAATTCGGCAATTCCTCATCTACATAAGAGTATCATGATTTGCCTGTTTACTTGACTCCTAAATTCTATTGACTTTAAACGGCTAACGGAATGACACGACTTTTTTTCTTTCAGATTCACTGGTGGGGTGTCTACAGAACCAGTTGTTTAGTTACGCCAGTGATGGCTGTAAACGAACATGCCGCTCTCTGAGCAACCAAGGTGTAGCATGCACCGTGACTGATGTGCCTGTGGAAGGTTGCCAGTGCCCTAGGGGGCTGTATGCTGACGACCAAGGGACATGTGTTTCTGTGTCTCGCTGTCCTTGTTTCCTGAATGGCGAGAAGGTCCAACCAGGCGCATTTGTCTACATAAATGGTCTTTCTTGGTACGTGCAAAGCTTAACCATCTTCCCACTCGACCGCCGTAATGTTCTTTCCCTGCACCAAATGAAGCATGCACGTTCATTTTGATTTTAATGATTTAAAGTTCTGAACAAAGATTTGGAAGGACTGCAGTGGCTATGGCATGGGAATGAGTGGAATCTTAGGTGAAGGCAAACCCATAATGGTTGGTTAAGTCCCAGCAAAACCTTATGGGCCTCCAAGTTTAAAATATGGATTTTTCAAATGGTGTACGACCCATGTCTACTGCCAGATTACCATTTTTCTACATCAGTTAGGTTTTTAATGGTTGGCTTGAGACACTTATGCAGACTTCTCCCAAGATGCCACATTGTTCTGGCAACTAAATGCCTCGAAAGTATAATGGGCGTTAGGCAGCAACTCAAATTGTGCAGTGTCTGTACATGGTCAGTCATGCCTAAGTTTAATGTGGTTTTATTCCACGTTAAGCAAGGGATTGCTGTACTGAACTGCATTTGCACTATCAACTGCCTGTAGTCATCCCATGCTGGGGCAATTGTGCATGAGATTACACCACCATACTCTATCATTCTGGATTCTTTAGCTTTGCTGCTCTGCTACGCAGCTCAAGTAATTGGGCAAAAACTCCGAGCGTTTATTTAATGTATGCGAAATGCACACTACATTTGCCATGGCCCAAGACCTTTACCTTATGCTGTACATTGAGGCTTTGAAAATTTGTTCTAGGCACACTAACATATTTCAGTTGATACTATGCATGTTTTTGGAACGCTGCTTTCACTTGGACGCATGTCCCTTATAAAAATTGGCTTGTAGGTAGTTGGAGTTGGAATATAGGCGGTATTCAATGTGTACATTTCAGCGATGTCGTAAATTCCTCCTGCATGAGTACACTCGTTATAGGTGCCAGGTAACTATCCTGTACTCGAACAGCCCTGCTTCTACTGCAGTCTCCATTTGTTTTCAAAATGGCCAGTGGAATATACCATCTCTCACTTCAGGCCCCTATAGTAAATATTGTGTCTCACTTAAAGGGGAAACACTTTAAGCTTTACCCTCTGGGGTTTAGAATGTACCGATTTTTTTTGGTTGACGGACCCTTTAATTCCTAACATACATATATGCCAAAAACATTACAAAGCTGAAACGGCACGTCTACAAATTGCCTTAATATCCTGCAAGCAAACGTAGCTATGGCTTGCAATACATCAAATTTGACTTCACACAGGCAATATACTTGCACTATTTGCTGGAGAATGTCGCTGTCCATTTTCATAGGCTATAATTTGATGCAAATGATATTTCGTATGCTTAACCCAAACATTCCTCCATTTCAGTTACTGTAAGAATGGAATACTGCGTTGCCAAGATTACCCAGGTATGAGCTATCATAAATCGTACATCTTACCAGAAACGTGCAGAATTTTGCAGCCCTTTAATTTGTAGATTAAAAGGCTCTTGAAGCCATTTGTTTTCAACCTGGTGAAGAGCATTTCCCAGAACCCCTGTTGAAATTGCTTGCTGTTGTAATATACTTCTGTATTGCCTTGCGGTTTTTCATATACTAACGCTTCCATGTTAATGGGGGTGGGGGGAACGGTTTACTCCCTTTTTCATGGAGGGTAAGAATAAAAAAATATGGGCTCTTAATTTGACGCCATTGCCTTTTTTCAAGGTGGTTTTCTCCTTTCTCAACAGACTGTAATCCCCCAATGGTTTATACAGACTGCATCAACAGCCAGAGTGGCGTTTATGGGAAGGCTTGTGAGAGAACCTGCGAGTTGCAGGAACCCCCATGTGTAAGTGTCCATATTCCCAAATTCATCATTTGTGGCCTGGAAGTACTGTTTGTTGCAAGAGTTGATTTAATTTGACTGCCCTTGTTACTACTGCAGGTATATTAACCATACAAATGTGCCTTGTCCCTTCAGTGGCCATTAAATATCCTTGTACGCCCGAGCAAAAACCGACCTTTTAGACTTTTGCCAGCTTTTTGGCTTGTATAGCGTTGCAACATCTCTCCTGGAAAGACTTAATTCTGGAGATCTAAACAGAAGTGCAGTCTTGTGGGGGAAACACGCAAGTACACTTCAAGGGTTGTGGCCATGAGGAGCCCCTGGCCACATGGTTTACCCATTGCTGATGTTGGCACTTTGCACCCAAGTATTCATTTGAAGCCTTCCTCAATCTCCAGAGGCCAACATATTTTAGATGCGACATTCCACTGCAAAGTAGTCCAGCAACTGGGTTGCAGAATTTTGCAATGCACCAAGCTCTACCATTTTGTTCCCAAATAATCAATTCAGTGATGACCTAACCTTCTGGCCTTGTTTTAATCATGGCCATTTTGGACCTAACCTTGGTAGTGTTTGTCATTTGATGGGTGTGATCATACCACCAATATCTTTGACAAAGATTCAATTTTTGTATAAAAGCAAATACAGTTGAAGTGCTGAGTGTTAAACCGATTTTTTGTTTGCATGTCCAGCTCGGCATACGGTGCTATCCAGGCTGCGTTTGTCCAAAAGACCTTGTGAGAACTCGCAATGACACTTGTGTCCAACCACATTTTTGCCCGTGCCAGCACAATGGCATTACATATGCACCTGGGGATTCGATCCAAGTTGATTGCAACCAATGGTAAGATTGTTAATGGGTTTTACTATGGGACCCAAAGCCACGAGGATGCTGCATGCATGCTTAACATTCTTGGCCAATTGAGCTGTAGTTAAACATGAAGTATATATTTGGCTTTGCTGAAATTGTGACAAACATTTTTGCTTTTGAAGGTATCAATTGCTGAATGTCTTTGCCGTTTGGTCCTTAATCTGTAACTGGCCATGATTTCCTTGGGTTTGAGGGCTTAGTGGTTTGGACCTTATTGCGTGTGGATGTCTGAAGCCTTTACTGTTCTTGTTACTAAAGGGTTGGAATTGAAACTGGCTGAATTTTGAATTCAACTTCCCAAAACACCTTGTACAACATTTTGAGTGGAGGGTCTTTAACCCATTTTGTGTGACCATATCATTACATGCCCTAATAATAAAAATAGATTTCGTCTACTAACCTACATTCAACTTCGGTTCAACCATCAATGCATGATCCTGCCTTGGTTTTCTTGGTTGGGCATTTATGGGTAAATTATTGTTGATACAACATAATGCATTTTTTCTCCTCCATTCAGCAACTGTTCCAATGGTTTCTGGAACTGCACCAAGAACTACTGTGCCGCCATCTGCAAGACATTTGGAAATGGCCATTACGCCACATTTGATGGAAAGGGTTTCTTGTTTAATGGATACTCCTGTGAATACGTAGTGGCACAGGTATGGAACTTTATTCTCCCTTCATAACGAAACCCATAAATCTTTATATTTAACATATCTACATATCACTTTGTTTTGTTCATAGGACTACTGTGGCACCAGTCCACAAAATGGAACGTTCCAGATCACCGTGGAGAACATACTGTGTGGCAGTACCTTGTCCACTTGCTCCAAATCCATAAGATTCTTCTTGCAGGCAAGACTGTGCACTCGCAATTCAAATCGCATTAAAGTTGCCCAACTCTTGCTTTCTGAAATTTAGAATGTTGTTTTCTATTCCCAGGACCAAGAGATAACATTGGCAGATGGGACCTATTCATTCTCTCCCAGGTCCAAGAGTATTAGCAGCACACACAGATTTAGGGTTTATTCTGTTGGGCTGTACCTAATTGTCGATGCTTCAAATGGAATAAAACTAGTCTGGGACCGCAAGACAACCCTGTTCATCAAGGTCACCCCGGACAGGAAGGTGAGCCATAAATATTTCTTTAATTACCAACTCTTTTTCCATTGTTTATGCTGACATTTTTAGAAAGAATGGTCTTCACGGTGCACTTTTGCAATCGAGACATTTACATATTTGTACCTTGGGCATACAAACAGTAGTTGCACGTGCACCCCAGGCGTATATGTCCATACAATAAGCTTGGTTGCGGTGCACATTGTCTAAGAATGTGCTGCTAACATATACACTGCTAAATTCTTGTCATGGGTGTGCTGGACGTTTTTTAAACTACTAGTCTAACACAACGAAATTGTTCTTCCTAGAATGAGCTGTGTGGCCTTTGTGGCAAGTACAACGGGGATGTGTCTGACGACTTCACCATGCGGGACCACTCGGTGTCGGCTAATGCGCTTCAGTTTGGGAACAGCTGGAAGGTCGACGAGACATGCCCAGATATGGGCGAGGAAGTCCCTCCTTGTGTGCTGAACTTTAACCGCAAGGCATCGGCCGAGCGGGAGTGCAGCCTCCTTAGCAGTGGGGTGTTTGCATCATGCCACGGAGAGGTACGCTTTGCCACTCACTGATTGTGGCATGGTTACTCGACTTGTGCAATTTCTGAGAAACAATGAATGGGTGAAGTGGGTTTTACCTAATTTATTCTATGCACCATTTATTTTTATTGCTTGGCAGCCTTTATACCCAAACAAGCAATTGTGTACACCTACTTGACTTGAATTTTTGCTACTAATAAACTACAGATGACCTCTTAGATTATGCTTTGCAAGGTGCTTATGTTTACCTAGTGTTAATGTCTGGCTTTTCATGCCACCCTTGTGTCGGTGGGGGAAGGTGGACTACGTGCCATACTACGAGGCCTGTGTACGCGACTCGTGTGCATGCAACACTGGCTTGGCGTGCGAGCTCTTCTGCACTGTAGTGGCTGCCTATGCAGAAGCATGCAATGAAGTTGGCCTGTGCATCCATTGGAGGACCCCGGACTTATGCCGTGAGTGACACCTGAAAAACACGCATGCACTGCCTAGAATGTCCATTTTGTCCCCTCGTGTGCCTCCCATGTGGTGCGTTTTTCCTGCTGGGACAAAGCTGCTGCTGGACAACAGGCCGGAGTCCATAGACTGATTATCATACAAATATTCGGGTTGACCTACCCTGTTCTAATAATGGAGAACCTCCCATGGGTGGAAATCCAAGGGGTTGGACACAGACCTTGGGTCATGTCTACACTTCACCTTTGGCAAGCTTCCAGTAACTTCATGAGAGTTTGGAATATCTGCAACTGCCTTGGTGTATGTGCCCCAACACCTGTGACTCAACTTTTCCACGAGTGCATGAGTAACTTCTGACCTCTAACAATGCTGTTTTGAAATGCATTTTGCTTGTAAAGATTCATATGGGACATTCCAAACATTGAAAAATATGGTTTACCAAACTTAAAGTAGTCTCTGTTAATTCTAGATTTGAAGCTTTTGTGACTGCAAGGATCCATACTCTTTGGTTCTATTCGGTTAAATCACATAGGTAAAAAATAAAATAACAAAAATCACGACGTTTTGGCCACAACACAAGTGGCCTTCATCAGGTGAAGGGACCGTGCTGTCATGAGGACAACGTTGCAGTGAAAACAGCCAAGCCCAGGTCACATCCTTTAAGCTGTGTGGGAGGAAGCAAAACGCTTTGACAAAGGAATTAGCATAAAATGATGTACTGGACCGGCACGGTGGGGGTGGGGGGGAGTTTACATAATGTTGGTGTGAAGGGAAATAAGCTTCTGTGAAAGTTTGAAATAACACTACTTGAATAAATATACTGTACCATTGAAAATTATTTTAATGTTTTTGATTTTAGAACATCTTTCCAATGATTGCTTAATTTGAAACCATCCTCTCGGTTGAAATTGTGTCAGATTTATAAATCTGAATTGCCTCGTGGACAAATCTCTGCTAAAAACCCCGTGGGTTTGCAGAGAACCTTGGTATCGGAGAAAACTATATCGTGATCACCCACAGCATTGTAACGGTGATCAGCTACGGCAGAATAATTCGTTCTGCCGTGTTTCAAATCTTTGTGCTCGCGAATTCGGTCAGACATGTCGTTTCGTCTCCCTGATATAGCAGTCGGAGGGCTAGAGGGCTAAATTTTGCTGTCGCCCCGAAACAACATTCCTGTAGATGATAACATCTCTCATGTCGATGTGGCCCTTAAAGGTGTAGGACACATCCAAGCAGACGTTGCGAGAGCTGAAATAGCCACTATTCTTAAGAATGCTAAGAAACCCATTCGCAACATCGGCAAAAATGAATGCTCTGAACTCGCGAATTTGAAAAACAAGTGATATAGTCATCCTCTCAGCTGACAAGGCAACGCTACTGTAATTATGGATAGATTCGTACAACAACAAAATCCAGAACCTACTCAACGATGGAAGTTACTCAAAAATTAAAAATGACCCTACAAATAGCCTAACTATAAAAACCAACAACATCACAAGTTCGACCTCCCTAATCGAACCAACTAAACGTCCTTCTGCTGCAAGACCCCCTAGATTCTATGGTCTTCCAAAGATTAATAAAGAAGGCACTCCACTACGACCCATGGTATCCACGATCAACTCCCCTACCAATAAGCTAGCACGTTTTCTGTCATACCTTGCTACCTTTCACTGGCAAGACCTCAGCAGTACTTAACTCAGCTCATTTTGTCTCTGTGGTCAAAAACGTTGTACTGTCCCCTGACGATATCCTTGTCGGCTTCGATGTGGTCTCCCTGTTCACCAAGGTCCCGGTACCTGACACCATTTGAAAATTTGGTACAACATGGACTAGACCCTGCTATACCTGCGCTGATTACACTGCCTCACCAATACCTACTTTACTTGGAATGGCACCTTGTACAAACAAAATGGGAGAACCCATGGGGGTTACCCTCTTATCACCAGTGATGGCCAATGTTTACATGGAGAAATTTGAATCAGACGCCATCCAGACTTCCACCCTCAGACCTTCCCTGTGGAAGAGATATGTGGATGACACTTTCGTCATTTGGCCACATGGCCTCCCAGCTCTGAACCTTTTCCTACACCACATCAATTCTAAACATCCCGCCATCCAATTCGCCATGGAAGTGGAGAAAGATGGCAAGCTACCATTCTTGGATGTTCTGTTTGAGAGGAGACCTGATGGCTCATTGGGACATTCTGTCTACAGGAAACCCACCCACACAGATTCCTACTTGAAACCTGAATCCCAACACCCAGCTCAATAATTCTCTCAAAACGTTATACCACAGGGCACATTGCATTTCGGACCAACACCACCTGACCAGTCAATTAAAACATGTACACCTGGCCCTCAAGAGAAACGGATACTCTGACCGTACCATCCGCCAAGCTGTTTCTCCCTCCATACAGAAACAACCACTTGATACTCCGGCCAAAACCATCACACTACCATATATAACAGGCATTACTAAAAAGATCTCCAAAATTCTGAACAAACACAAGATCCTGGTCCGGTTCAATACAGTACACAAAATCCGTGACCTGATCCCATCTGAAGGATGTCGTTCCTGACTTACAGTACCCCGGGGTTTACAAATTGAGTTGTACCTGCGGTGATTGCTATATTGGGGAGACGAAGCGACATGTCTCTGACCGAATTCGTGAGCACAAATCAGATTTGAAACACGGCAGAACGAATTCTTCTGCCGTAGCTGATCACTGTTACAATGCTGTGGGTGATCACGATATAGTTTTCTCTGATACCAAGGTTCTCTGCAAACCCACGGTTTTTATCAGATTTGTCCACGAGGCTATTCAGACTTAGAAACAGACACAATTTCAACAAAGAGGATCGTTTCAAATTAAGCAATCATTGGAAAGATGTTCTAAATTAAACCAAACATTAAACTAATTGTCAATGGTAGAGTATATTTATTCAAGTCGTGGTATTCCAAACTCACAGAAGCTCATTTCCCTTCACACCATTATGTAAACTCCCCCCCCCCCCCCACCTAAATGACACCCCTGATTGCTCCTGTTTTTTGCCAGCTGTTTTCTGTGACTTCTATAATGACCCCAACGCATGCACCTGGCACTACCATCCATGTGGCACTGTCAACACCAAAACTTGTGACGATCCAGAAGGCATCAACCTGGGTGACTTCCCAAGGCTTGAAGGTGAATGCACAAGCTTTTCAATTGACCTGATCCAGAACCAAATGATCATAGTTTGTTTGGTACCTCATCCAGTTCTAGACATATTTTCTGCACATTGTTTATGTCGAATTTACTTCATATCCTTGATTTTAATATTTTGGCATGGTCTTGACTTTACCACCCACTTACTGGCTTCAGGCCTGACTAGTCCATGGGCCAGAGTCGCAATTTGGTGTACAACCTTGGGTAGAAAGATCGGTTGCCTCCAAATATTTGCACGACAAAGGGAATCATTTAAACCGTTTAATGTAATCGTTGCTTCGTGCAAAACTGTCCTGCAGTTTTCACAGCGGAGACTTCCAACGTTATTGACACGTACATGAAGTAGCACTTGTTTATGCAAGTGCTTGCCACAATACCTTGCTGTTCTCAGGCATAAACAATCACGCCATCTTGGTCATGAGTTGGTGTTTTTTTTTTAAGCAGCAGCTTTTGGCTAACAGTACATCGTGCGCTTTCAGATACTTCTGCAGCCGTCTTGGATGCTCTTAGTTGTAATTTACAAGGAAGCTGCTAGTGCTCTACACTTAAATATAGATGGGGGTGTGCAGGGGGAAATGCTTAACCTGCTTGTGTTTGGGTCTTCCCCCCCTCGTTTTTCATAGATGACTGCTTTCAGTGCAAACTACTTTCTACGTAAAATTTTGTTGTGGCCATGATATTGCAACTCGATGCTATCTCGGGTGGTCTTGATGCAATATCTTGGCCCTTAGATTATAATTACAAATAGTACTATTGTAGAGCTTTTTATTTTGCATCTCGTAGTATGATATGTTTCACAACGTGTAAAACCATTATCTCGTGACATTGTCTTCCATGACAGGCTGCTACCCTAAATGTTCAAATGCTACATACTTGGATGAACGCACCTTGCACTGCGTGTCAAGGGAGAACTGCAGCTGTGAGCTAAATGACACGATAGTCCTTCCTGGTGGTACTTTGGTGAGCAGGGACACGTGCCAGATATGGTAAGCATCCCTCCTTACCATGCTGTGTACAGTATTACTCGACCTGAAGCTCTAAGTTTGAACGTTTTATCATTTACATCTATGATCTATATACTGCTGCATGACTTTCCAACAATGACCTCCAATCTATCATGCCACAAAGTTAGTCCCTTTTAATCCACCAGTCCTTTATTGGCCTCATCCCCTCGCTTCCATTGCAACTGCCATTCTTGTCGTCTACTTTGAGCACTGCTAGCGATGTCCTCCCAAAGATGCATTTCCTTTACTGACCAATGCCTCCCAAACTGGTATCTTGCACCTGCTTTGGTCTTATTTACATTATCTTTGACAATTTAATGTATTTCAGCAACTGTACTATGGGGCAGCTTCACTGTGCTACAGCCAATGGTGAGTATATATTAGTATTAAAGTTATAAAAAGTCGTTTCTATAGTATACACTCATGAAACTGCACTATATGGTAATGACAATATATTTGTACGACATGATTACGTAATTACAAATTTCACGTCCTTTAAAAGCAATTCACGTTACTTGATCAATTAGCTTTTTAATTGGGACGTTTATAATGCCATGACTTCTCTCCTGCATGTAGTCTGCTGCGTCTACAATGGACACCAATTTAAGCCAGGTGAAATCGTCTATATACACACCGATCTCGGTTCGCTGTGCAACGTCACGGGAATATGTACCGACGCCGGAATGATTGGCAGAGACACCTTGTGTCCGTCTACAACTCCCACCATCACAGGTAACAATTGAACTGCTGATGGCCGTTCGTTGCCCTAAAACTAGCCCAATGAGAAGATCCTTGATCACAGCTGCCTTGTACAGGATGATGCAATGGACTAAACTGAGATTGTATGACTGTGGTGGTTTTATATAACATCAAAAATTAAGTGTACTCAACGATTAAAATACATTCATTGGCTATGCAAGTGAAGGTCAATACTTGTCCCATGTGCAAAGTGGTTATGAACACATGCAAAACGACCGACTGGCCGAAATTAATCTGTGCTTCGCTCATTTGAACAAGTGCAACACCACCTTAGCACGGCTGGCTATGTACATTGCGATATGTTTTTTTATACACTAGCTGTGGAGTACATTTTAATTCCGTAATACATTAACACTTGGATAGCGACTCTGGTTTCTATCCAGGTATAGTTCGTGTCTACCAGTTCACCTTCAAGCATATGGTTTTCTTTCATATACACGTGGATGGGTATTGCATTTTGGGTTTGAAAAATCATGCCTTGTATAAAATGTAGCCTAAATGCAGGGCAAAGGGCCAAACATCTGGCCAGTTTGTGCAAACTTTATAAAAATGACCCAAGCTGGCACTGAACCTGGCTTTCCTCCTGTCCAATGTTCCACGACAGCAACATCACCTGCGTTCACCACGGGGAGTGGGTGCTATTCCCTTGTCCCTCCACGACAGGTAACTGGGATGGCTTAAATTAATGGGCATGCTTCTTATAAAAAAACATGCTTCTCTGCAGTTGGATTTAATTTGGACATCTTTAATGGTAGGTGCACTGTATAGGGTACGTGGTTGCTTTACTAATGGATAAACACTTAATTGCCCTACCCAGTTTATTAATTCTTGCCTGACTCTTAATCCAATTTGGGTCTCGGTTATCAGTCTTGCACATCGGTAGTGCCATAAATTTAAGCTGCCTTTTAAAAAAAATGATTTTAGCACTGCCATGCTAAATAGACATGGTACATGGCATGCGGACCCATTTCTGCAATATTTCCTGATGAGATGTGATATTGGATATACTGTACACTAATTTTCAGCTACACTAACATGTCGCAAAGCCATACCTTAGCCTGTAGGAGGCTTTCTGAGCCTGGCATTCAAAATGCCACCATGTTTTTAAAATTCAACTTGAACTGCCTTAAAAATTCCTCAACATAGCCTTTCTTTACAGAACTCTGTAATACTAGTCCTAATTTATGCATCGCATATCCTTCCCCAGCATATGGAGACTTGGAAAGTGAACAACTGTACGAATGCCACTTGTGTCGGCAACAACGTCACCTACACTGTGAAGACTTGCAGCGAATCCACAAAGCCCAACTGTTCTTTTGTACGCAACGTTTCTGACAGTGATGGTTGCTGTACATGGCAATGCCAATGTGAGTATATGCTGCTTTGTACACTGCTCCATTGGGTTAAACACCACCAGCAAACCTGTTTGCCTCGGTCTCCTGTTTTTGGTGTTCAATATGTTGCACACTCGAATTGAAGGACATGGGCAAGTGCTCCAAATCGAGGGCAAGCACATTTATTGTGGTTAATCTGTAATCTTGTGAAGAACAGCGTCACACACAGCATTTATTCCGAGTCGCCATTAACCATGTGGTGGGTTTACAAGCGCGGTTAATCATTAACCCTGCCAGCCACCTACAGGCCCAACTCGGTCATCACATGCTGCTGTACACACACGCACTAATGCACCGCATAGCACATCAGGACGTTCATAGAACCACACTTTTACTCCCTTGCTGCACAAGGATATAATTAAAATAGTGGTCCCTTCCTAATGTGCCACATCTGGCACGTCTTAAATTGCATAACCGCTTCCTGTTCCATCTTTAAGATGCCGTTGCATTTATAGGATCCTACCTAAAATTGCTAAAATTACATTTGCCAAACAATGCGAGGACCCCACCACACCCTAATTTACACTGCAGAGTTGAGAAATGTGCCAACTATTCCTCCAGCAGCATTGCACCTATTATACACTCTATAATCTAACATGTCAAACGTTGTTACATGGCTGACTTTTTCCAGAATGTGCATCTGCTTGCCACCACAAGTGAGGCAGGCAGTCTCTTCACCCAAGCATGTTAGTCCTCCAAATGAACATTTTCACTGGTGAATCCATGCCAGATAGTAAAGAACCATGCTGACATGTCGTATATTTAACCATGAACTATCTGTCTAATGGGCCTTTTTCTGTCTGGAATTGCAAAAAGGCAAATGCCAGGGATGGGGAGACCCCCATTACATCACATTTGATGGTGTTCAGTACACCTTCCTGGAGGACTGCACTTACATCCTGATGGAGGAGAGGATTAAGCAACAGAACCTTACGATCCTCCTCGACAATTATCAATTCACCCGTGGAAACCCAGCCTCTTTTGTCAGGGGCCTCGTTGTCAACTACAATGGGAACTCTGTCAACATGAGCATCCCAGCCACTCTGGGGAGAAGGCAGAACATCATCACGGTACGTTTTCTAATTACCAGTTAACACTTTCATTTACTTTAACAACCAAGTGCACGCTTAATTTGAAAAGGTCTGACCTGTTGATTTGCTTCCAAACAACTCCATTTGGCACTAAACAAACACCCACCTGGCTCTAAAATTAAAGCTTGTACGAGGTCAATACGTAAAATTAAAAGTATCCTTGCTTAATTGTATGTACACTTGACGCTGCTAATAGCTGTTTGCTAAAATGATTATGCAATTGCTTTTTGAAGGTATACTTCAACAACATACTGGTGATGCCACCCTTGTCATCGAATGGGATTGACATTACCTCCAGTCGCATTGTGGTGAAGGTGGCCATCCCTGCCATAGATGCAACCATCTCATTCACTGGCGATATGTTCTCCATCTACTTGCCATATGATTTATTTAAAAACAACACCCAAGGACAATGTGGTAAGTTGTCATGCTAGGCATTACAAAAGCCATGGGTCTCCTAAATCTGTTATGCACTTGCTGACTTTTCTAGGTGCCTTTGCCACTAATACTTTCCATTAGCAAATACAAATGGTTTTTGATCTGCATCCAAAGGTAGATGACAATGTAAACTTGCACCCATCCTAAACGGGGTTTAGGCATTGTAATGCCAAACTTGAACGGGTGAATAACGTATAGTTAAGACTACAGCTAATTCTTTTGACATTTCCAGAAATCATATGCTTAATTTTTTGTAAGCCTTTTGCAATGGGTTTCTTAAAGCTCCAACTGATGCCTTAGCCTTTTTAATCGCTTCAACTAATGCGAGTGCATAGCAATCCAGTCGCTGCAGAAATAAACAATGCGTGTCCTTGATTTGAAGTGACTGCAGAAATCATACTCTTTGGGTCTTTTGGCAAGTCGCATAGGTAGAAACAATAAATCGCGACGTTTTGATAGCAACACCAAGCCATCATCTTCGGGTGAAAACCACGACAGCCGCAGTGTCTGCTACCTTGTGAAAAGCTTTCACCAGGCAATAGTGTATACAAGTTGCCTTTTCTAAAGCTTGTATAAGCTCTTGCTGGTAAAAGCTCCTCTTCACAAGGCAGCAGACATCACAGCTGTCGCAATTTCACCTGGACGATGGCTTGTGTTATCAAAAGTCGTGGTTTTTATTTCTACCTACGTGGCTTGCCAAAAGAACCAGTGTCCTGTATCAGATGCAAATTAATAAAGAGACTAGCATTATCCACGCATGCACTAAGTTTCTTCCTTTCACATCCAGGCGTTTGCAACAACTTGTCCAACGATGATTGTGCCTGGTGGAATGGCACCGCAGAGCCTGCGTCGTGCTGCCCCAGCACTGCCTCGAGCTGGGCCGTACGTGACGTTACAAAGCCTCACTGCCTCTCCTCGGCGTTCAACTCCAGCAAGAACCAGAGCTGCACACCCTCCACGACGCCGGCTCCGTGCCAAATGAACATGTCGGTGTGCGGCGCCATCAACAGCACGTAAGGGACCTAAGTCGTCTGAATTGCACTGCACGTGTATATATGCTTTACATTACTTGTGCATATCTCTTCCACCACCCCCCCCCCCCCCCAATTTGTCCATGTATGTACCTTTTCCCAATTTGCTTGTTTACATTTTCCACTACGTCCATTTTTAGAAGTCCCCTCCTAGAACCAAATCGTGAATAACAGGACACTTGCAGCCCTCCTAGAATTTAGCTGCATAATATTCAGAGTAGTTTTAATGATGCTTGTGCACATTTTGTTTTCCTTACAACCCATGTGCTCAAAGCAATTGTTACCAGTGGAACTTCGAATAAGGGGCCATTCATTATCCAAGCCATTGTTCACGCGACTCCTCCTAATTGGATCTTCTCAAACCTTTGCTCTATCCCTTGTACCATCTTGGTTTGGCAATGGATTTTCAAGGCTGCTGCTTCTTCCACCTCCCCTTTTCCCCTCTGCAGCATGTTCTTAAACTGTTCAAAGGTGGTGAGCCTGCAAGAGTTCCTGGTCACGTGCAAGTATGATCTGTGCCAAGTGAATTCCTCTCAGGCTGGCTGCCCAAGTATTCAAGCAGCAGCAGAAAAGTGTGCCCAACTGGGCTACAACGTTGACTGGCGTAGTGCCACCAATGGAACTTGTGGTAATATTCATTATTTTGACCGTGGGGTAACTGGTCATTAATCCTAAAGACAAAATATTGTTGGCTCCATGTTTTAATACAATGCTAGTGTGCCATCTGCCTCTGGCCCAGCAATGTTTTCAGATTTATTTTTTCAAAACCGTTTCTGTTATATTTTATAAACATTTTTCATATCCTTGCTTCATTTTTGATCCTCTTTTGGTTTAGGCTACAACTGCACTAACGGACAGTATATGCCGCAAGGTCCAAAGATTGTAAAGTCCTGCTCCAATGGGTAATTTATCTCCCCCCCCCCCCACCCCTAAACTTTGCACAACCCAAGCTTTCAAATACCTGTCCTCATTACATTTTCTGCTTTCTGATTCTGCAGCAGTGTAGTTTCTACCATACAACATGAAGAAGGCTGCTATTGTCCTGAAGGAAAAATAAGTTGCAATGGTTCGTGCATTCCTGAAATAAGTAAGTGCATCCTTTTGTAGCTGAACCTTACGGTGTACATTTGTATCGCCCAAGGGTTGACTTGTATATTCAAGGTCTTATTATTGGTTATGAAACTTGTAAACCTCTTATCCAACTTGTTTTTGGGGAGGTAGAGTATAAAATGAGATGCATGCAATGGTCGAAGGGTCTTGCCCTGGTGAAAACAACAACTGCCTTGGTACCTAGAAGTATTCTATGACATTGTGGAAACATGATGTATTGTGCCTCCATCAACCATAGGTACAACCACAATGCCTTCAACTTCATTGGCAACCACTGCAACTACCACCAGGAGGACGACGCCACCTACCTCCACTGCAACTACCACCAGGAGGACGACGCCACCTACCTCCACTGCAACTACCACCAGGAGGACGACGCCACCTACCTCCACTGCAACTACCACCAGGAGGACGACGCCACCTACCTCCACTGCAACTACCACCAGGAGGACGACGCCACCTACCTCTGCAACTACCACCAGGAGGACGACGCCACCTACCTCTGCAACTACCACCAGGAGGACGACGCCACCTACCTCCACTGCAACTACCACCAGGAGGACGACGCCACCTACCTCCACTGCAACTACCACCAGGAGGACGACGCCACCTACCTCCACTGCAACTACCACCAGGAGGACGACGCCACCTACCTCTGCAACTACCACCAGGAGGACGACGCCACCTACCTCTGCAACTACCACCAGGAGGACGACGCCACCTACCTCTGCAACTACCACCAGGAGGACGACGCCACCTACCTCCACTGCAACTACTACCAGGAGGACGACGCCACCTACCTCTGCAACTACCACCAGGAGGACGACGCCACCTACCACCAGGAGGACGACGCCACCTACCTCTGCAACTACCACCAGAAGGACGACGCCACCTACCTCTGCAACTACCACCAGAAGGACGACGCCACCTACCTCTGCAACTACCACCAGGAGGACGACGCCTACCTCCACTGCAACTACCACCAGGAGGACAAGGCCTACCTCCACTGCAACTACCACCAGGAGGACGACAAGGCCTACTTCAACTACTCCCATAACTGAGACGACCACGCCACCTACCTCAACTACTCCCATAACTGAGACGACCACGCCGCCTACCTCAACTACTCCCATAACTGAAACGACCACGCCACGTACCTCAACTACTCCCATAACTGAGACGACCACGCCGCCTACCTCATCTACTCCCATAACTGAGACGGCAACGCCACCTATCTCCACTACTCCCATAACTGAGACGGCAACGCCACCTACCTCCACTACTCCCATAACTGAAACGACCACGCCGCCTACCTCATCTACTCCCATAACTGAGACGGCAACGCCACCTACCTCCACTACTCCCATAACTGAAACGACCACGCCGCCTACCTCATCTACTCCCATAACTGAGACGACCACGCCGCCTACCTCAACTACTCCCATAACTGAGACGGCAACGCCACCTACCTCCACTACTCCCATAACTGAAACGACCACGCCGCCTACCTCATCCACTCCCATAACTGAGACGACCACGCCACGTACCTCAACTACTCCCATAACTGAGACGGCAACGCCACCTACCTCCACTACTCCCATAACTGAAACGACCACGCCGCCTACCTCATCTACTCCCATAACTGAGACGACCACGCCGCCTACCTCAACTACTCCCACAACTGAGACGACCACGCCGCCTACCTCAACTACTCCCACAACTGAGACGACCACGCCGCCTACCTCAACTACTCCCACAACTGAGACGACCACGCCGCCTACCTCAACTACTCCCACAACTGAGACGACCACGCCGCCTACCTCAACTACTCCCACAACTGAGACGACCACGCCGCCTACCTCAACAACTCCCATAACTGAGACGGCAACGCCACCTACCTCAACTACTCCCACAACTGAGACGACCACGCCGCCTACCTCAACTACTCCCACAACTGAGACGACCACGCCGCCTACCTCAACTACTCCCACAACTGAGACGACCACGCCGCCTACCTCAACTACTCCCATAACTGAAACGACCACGCCACGTACCTCAACTACTCCCACAACTGAAACGGCAACGCCACGTATGTCCTCCCATAACTGAAACGACCACTGATTTGCTACGTTCGCTTTTCCACTTGTGCCTAATCTGTTACCACAAGCTTGAGATTGACAAATATCACTGACATTTGATATTTGTAGTGCCAAAAGTATTTACGAAGTAATCCAGTTAATTTTACGTAAAAAAAAAATAACTTGCTACATTTTCTTAAATCACTTTACTCCATCTTGCATAAATTCGTGGTCTGTCCACTCCTAATTTATGAACTAGGAAGGGCCTATTACTGGATAACTTTCTGTTGCCCTCGCATAACTGAGTAACTTTTCTCCTTAACACTGTTCGTATTACTGTTGCTCCTCCCCTCCAACCAAGATCTCACAAGCATATTTGCCGTTCATGAACTCTTCCATATGCCTGCTTTAATGGTATATTCACAACTCCAAAGGTAATCCTGTAAAATGTTTTTTTTGCCACTCCCACAGGCATACCATGCACATGTGAATTTGGAGGCAAGATTGTGAATGCTGGTAAGTTAAAGCCCTTTTGGTTTTTATCCATGGTTTCATTGGCACGGTAATAAAATGTTTGTTACCATTTTCTTGCAGGCGACCTTGTTTACATCTCTAGTGGCAACAGCGGTTTGTGCTCCTATGTGAGATGTTCACCAACGTGCACCCTCGTCACCTCGCTCGAACTGTGCCCAACTACAACCCAGCCCACAATGAGCAGCCCTCCAAGCACGTACCAATCCACCTCGCCCCAATCTGGCTGCTACTACAACGGTCATTATTACAATGTAAGTTTACAATAACATAATTTTATAGTCTCGACGACCTTTCCAATATGATCCCATATTAATGAATGCGTACGACCCTGTGACCAAGGGCGATATTCAACTTTTCGTGTAACGTATTGCACAGTTTTGAAGTTGAAATATTGAACTAATATTAAAGTGTTTAAATGTAATTCTCTACTCGTAAAGTCCAGTGTAATGTCCTTAGAACATTACAGCTTTTCAATCAGAATTTATTGTACTTGAGTATCAAGCGCAAGTGACCACTTCCTACCTAAAAAATGGGCTTTGAAAGACCACCATTTACTTTAAAGGTGCTAATTGAGATTTTGGTTTGCTTCCTTTACTCAACCAATTTTGGAAGAGCAACAAGGGGCAATGTTCTGTGTAAACCTCATCCATGAAATTTAAAACTACCTGTTTTAGATTGCAGCTGCAGACATTTTTGCTTGTTTGAAATGGGCTACACCCAAACCTGTCACCCAGATCAAAGTAAAAAGGTTGAAGTGCATTTTGCAGGTGCTAAGCTGGTCAGTCATCTGACCTAGGACGCTGGTCCGTTTCCAGATGTGAAGGCGCCATAGCTTAAATTGACAGTTTTTCACCACTTTAATGTTTTCTTGCATGCTTATTTGGTTTTAAGTTGGGATCCCATGTTGGTGGCACAAAGCAACACCATCTTCTAAACAGTCTGTTTTCTAAATCATGCCACACTGACTTAGAATAACATCTCCTCTTCCCCATTGGCAACGATTGAGACCAAATGCATAAAAATAAATTTTACAAACAGACGTGCATGGAGTGGCTGAGGTTTAATGTAGTTTACCATTTGATGTGACCAGCTGCATTATCCCACTGCTTTTTAGCTGCTAATTTCTAACCGAATCGTACAGTGTCCAAACACAGATGCAACACACTTCGCCCACGTTGCACAGTCCTCGTGTAGAGGGTGCACCATTTGGGTTAAAAAGCCAACCATGAAATCCAAATGATTATTTTTTCCCTTTTATGTAGCCATGTTCAAAAATTCAAGTGGTTCTGTCAGACTCAGTGTGCATTATGGTCCTCGGTGCTTGCACCAATTTGACCACGCATAAGCATGTGTGCATTTCACATTCTTACTATTGCTTTTTTTACTGGCTATATAGCCACCATTAATAGTGAAGTGGTATAGATTTCTGTAACTCCCCAATTTCCACCCTGTCAAATACAAGAGATTAAAACAACTCTAATCCTGTATGTGAAGCCTTGGCAATCTGGTAGCACCCGTCATGATGCTCTAACCTTGGTCAAACGTGCTGCTCCCATGCAACAGCATGGTGTGCCGCTTCGAATCGTCAAGTTTGCAAATGCAGCCACGAAGATGGTAATTGCTTGGCTGGAACTGAAATTCAAATCCATGATCTAACAACCCCCTATCCAGCTTTCTGCCCAGAGATAAGCTTGCCTCCAACCAAAAATGCTATTTTTAAATGTTTGAGAGCTCTGCCTTCGATGTGCTTTTCTACCAGTTGAAAATTGTACATTACTTTTTAGTGGGATCTTGCTACTTGTGAATCCATCCTCCGATAACCCCATTTTAATTCCTGACCCAATGTTTGAAAGCTGCTATACTCTGCCACTTACCGCTATGGTGTGGGGAGGCTTGTCAGCAGGTGGCGTCCAAGGATTGCATGCAAATATACAACCTGGGATACCCCTAAATATGAAATTAATCAAGCCTAATGGCTTGATCTTCCAACTGCAGTTTGTATTCCTAAAAGTAGATTTTATAACCTTATTGTCTTTTTTTAGATCGATACCAATTGGACCAAGCCGGGTGATAACTGCACACACTTTACATGCAAGAGTGTATTAGGGCAGGCTTCTATTGTGGAGATGAAGATCAGCTGTAGTCCAGCCATTAATATCAGCTCTTGCCAACCTGTAAGTAACCGTCTAATGTTATATACACGTTTTGTAACACTCCCAGCAATACAATAACCTATTGGTATGCTTGCTATGCATGGAGTCTTCAGAATCCTTGTTTTTAATGTTCCCATGTAATTCTGGAGTTTTGTGTCCTGGCAACTTGGGAACCTTAATTTAAACGTAACCCATGAAGTGCATTTGTATAACATTGTCTTCAGTTGGTGATAGGTGAAACATTTTAAATTCCAGCAAATCCACATGCAACCACATTTGCATCGCTACCCAAAAAAGGGCCATTGCCCAAGATTATATTTTGGACAATGGCCCATTAGATGGTCATGGCTGGACAGAATTTATCATTTTAGATTTATCAGCTGCCTCTGGAATTCAAGATGCATTCTAACTGAAGCACAATATATCTGTTAATTTATTTCAGGGAACCGTGATAAAGGATGAATATGGCTGCTGTTCAAGTTGTCGTAAGAGGCTCACCTTTTGCTTTCACTTGCTTGATCTCGGTCAACTTTTGTACATTTTCACTAATTTGAATTTTCTCACCTTAACAGCTCTGCAACAGTCTCCTTGTCGATTATTTGAGGGAAGTGCCGAGATCAACTTGCCTGGATGTCAACCAAAAAACATATCCTTGCCTTTCTGTCAGGGGAACTGTTCGTCAACGACAAGGTGAGTGACCATTTTAGACTACTTTAATTACCACAACTTTTAAATGTTGCACAAAACCAAGTATTTGTCTGTTATTTCAACAGCTGCAAGTTACATGTAAAAACAATTATTATTTTAAGCTCTTATCGAAATTTTAAGTTTGACTTGTTATCAATGGGGTGTTTCTTTACTAGCCAATTGGGTTCTAATGCCTGTCCTTAAGTCTTGGTGTCAAACCAAACCTAGGTCAATTGCTGAACACCTGAGGCACGTATGTTTGACCAATTTAAAGTAACTTGCTGGCAGCAATCTTGATTTGACGCTTTCGTGACTGCAGGAATTCACTCTGGTTCTTTCGGTAAAGTCGCATGTAGAAATAGATCGCGACGTTTCGATAGCAACACAAGCCATCGTCTTCAGGTGAAACAATAAAGCAGGTGAACTGCTGAGGGAATGTAGCAAGAGCTACTGCAACCAAAGGTTATACACGTGGTAGGTACAACCCAAGGATAAGTGGCCAGGACTAGGGATGGAATGTAAGTGCTAGCAGCACTTAAATATTTAATCAGTTCATACATTACTGACATATGCACATTGGTAATTGTAATATTTTGTCTTCACAGACTTGACGTCCCATCCATGGCACCGGTGTACACCTGTAACTGCTGCCATGACCTAGAATCTGAGGGTATTAGACTTTCATTGACTTGCACTGGAGGATCTCAATATTATGACTACATCTACATTAAATCCTGTAGATGCACAAGCTGTTCATGAACATGAAATGTAAAGGTTGAATACTGTTGCAAGAATCTATTAGTAACTTTAAACATGATGTAAATACTGAGTTGCTTAAATACAAATCATAAACTCTTCTGCTTGTCATTCTTCATAATCGTGTTTGGTTTCCTCCTTAATGGCTGGCATGTGAGGTTCCTAGCATACAGCCATGATTTTTGGGAGGCACCTTTTTTCAGGTGGTACTTGATCGGTGACATTGCAAAATATCCCACCTAATGTGTGTTTGGCATATGCCTACAAATGACTTTTGTTTTGGGGGGGGGGGGGGGGGGGTAACACTTGGTGCATTCTAATGCTTCCAGTTTCAATCAACCTAGTGATGGCACTGCTCAATGCAACATGCTTGACCAGCAAGCACCTTAACCTAAATTTGGCAATGGCATAGTCCACGGATCCCTGGATTTTGTGCACGGTTGAAGCCCAACAAAAAGGAGTGGTAGCATGCATCTTTGTGGTTCCTAATGAATATTTGGCAGGGAACTGGACAGACATGGTGTCAATCCGGCAAATTCCAATCTGCATTTTACCGATGGAATGTCCTGTACATAAGCTCGACAAGCCAGATGCTTTTTGTCCCATTTTTGCCTAGTCCTTTTCCAACTGACGTAATAAGCAAGCATCACGTTTACACCTGGAACCGGTCGGCTGTTTTACAAGACCTCCATTTTTGTTGACGTCTAATCTTTCCATATCAACAGATTTTTGTCCTCCATAACGTCAATCCAATCTGTGGCTTTGATCGTAGGCCTTTGCATTTTTTGCTTGCACTTTAATTTGGAGCACTTTGTTACGATCAACTTGATTGACAAATTTGCCCGAGTCTAATCATTGAGAAATTGTATTTAAACCGTGTCTCCTTGGCACGTGTTCTGCCTTCGCTTACACATTTAGACCTGCCACATGTTTGGTTGCATTCTTTATGGCTGCTCAAACACTGCTGCCACCCACTGGAGAAGCTGCATTAGATCACCAAACAGAAGACGAAGCCTCGACATTAGGGTTGTCCTTAAGCCACTTCAGCCTCTGATCAATCGAGCCGAGCATTTATGGCACCATGGATATTTTATACTCTGGTTCTTTTGGTATAGTCACATAGGTAGAAAATAACATCACGACGTTTCAATCGCAGCAGTTCCACTGCTATTTTTTTTTCCACCTGACAACCTTGTGTTGCGATCGAAACGTGATTTTTGTTTTTTCTACCAATGACTTTACTGAAACAAATTATGGCTTTGTAGATCATTAACTGTGCTTCCACTGTTCTCACCGTTTTGAGGTATTCGCCCATCAGAGGTTTTGCTAACTTTCCATTACGCACAAACATTTTAAATTGAATGCAGCGTGCCCATTAATCGTGCCGACTGCTCAAGGCACTAACAGCTTTCTCACGACTATAGCATTGGCGTATCTGTTCCTTACACAACTTGCATTTTTTTCAGTGCTTGCAATCCATCCAATTGACCGCAGATCTTGCGAGGTGAAATTGTATATATCACGTTGCCCAACATTCATAGCTTGCTTAGCGCTCTCAATAAGCATCTTACATCAGGATGTCCATTGGCGTCATCTTTAGGCGGCTCCATTTTCGAGCTGATTGTAAATGCAGTTTCCAACTGATCCCATTCCGTGTTCTTACATGTGAGCATTGTCTTCAACGATTTTTCTCTGGCAAGAAATGCTGCCCTGGCTGTTTCAAAGCCCTCGAGGTTCATGGTCATTCCTGGATTAAACTATTGCACTACCAAGTTGTACTCGATCAGGTGAGCCTTTCAAGTAGGGATTTTGCTGTTATCTTGCAGTGTAATCAAACGTTTGACTGCAGCCGTTTGGTAAGCATCGGCATCTGTAGTACTCACACGTCATCTGGGACATGTTAGTCTTCGTTGGGATCTACAGTTGGTTGTATTGGTTAATGTTGGCACAAATGCCTAGTCTTCCGTTAAATGCAAAAACATTCACACTGCTCTGGTTTGCGGCTGAGAAATGCTCATTTTAAGGTGAAACAATCACGCATTCACAAGCAGACTGATTTTGGCATCGAAATGCAAATTTTGAGATACACCTCCAGTGAATTCGGTTCATTGTATCCTTTAGACTTAAATCCAGTTCTGACTGGATTCAACTGAGTCGGACGCACTTCTTGGAGGCAACACATTAAAATCAACATGCGGTACTACCCCTTAAGAGCCTGGTGGTCCACCACCATAGGTTAACTACACTAACTGGCTACAAGGGACTGGACCCCAGATTGGGTCCAAGTGTTCGAGACTAGGACGTAGAAGGTAGATTCTTCAGGATGAACAACAGCAGGTCCTCCCTCGGACTTTGCTTATATCCTCTTAGCCACAACCACCTTCTAGAATCCATACTCTTTGGTTCTATTCGGTAAAGTCACGTAGGTAAAAAATAAAGCAACAAAAATCACGACGTTTTGGCCACAACACAAGTGGCCTTCATCAGGTGAAGGGACAAACTGTTCAGCGGACAGCATTGGAGTGAAGAAAGCCAAGCGCAGGTCGCCTCCTTTTAAGCTGAGGGGGTAAACAAAAAACGCCTTGACAAAGGAAATGAGTATTATTTTTTTCGGTAAAGTCACGTTGAAGGGAAACAACAAAATAATATATTAGACGACCGTTTGAGTTATGGTTGAAACGTCGTAAGAATTTTTTTATTGTTTTATATATATTTTATATTGTTGTTTCCCTTCAACGTGACTTTACCGAAAAAAATAAGAATATGAATTACTGCAGTCACGAAAGCTTTAAATCAAAAGGAAATTAGCATAAAACACACCACTAACAATGCTTGGAATTAGCACAATATGATAATACACCACCCTGGAAGTTTGGAATGCCACCACCTGAATAAATATACTGCACTACTGAATTAGTTTAATGTTTGGGTCGATTTAGAACATCTTTCCAATGGTTGCTTAATTTGAAACCATCTTCTCGGTTGAAATTGTCTGTAAATCTGAATTGCCTCGTGGATAAATCTGATAACCTGTGGGTTTGCAACGGACCTTGGTATCGGAGAAAATTATATCGTGATCACCCACAGCGTTGTAACAGTGATCAGCCACGGCAGAAGAATTCGTTCTGCCGTGTTTCAAATCTGACTTGTGCTCGCGAATTCGGTCAGAGACATGTCGCTTCGTCTCCCCGATATAGCAATCACCGCAGGTACAACTCAATTTGTAAACCCCGGGGTACTGTAAGTCAGGAATGACATCCTTCACGGATGGGATCAGGTCACAAATTGTGTACTGTATTGAACCGGACCAGGATCTTGTTTGTTTAGGATTTGAGATTTTTAGTAACACCTGCTATATATGGTAGTGTGGTTTTGACCGGAGTATCAAGTGGTTTCTGTATGGAGGGAGAAACAGCTTGGCGGATGGTACTGTGAGAGTATCCGTTTCTCTTGAGGGCCAGGTGTACATGTTTCAATTCACTGGTCAGGTGGTGTTGGTCCGAAATGCAATCTTCTAGCAGGATCTCGTGCCCACCCCTAGCCCCCACTTAGAGCCCCTGTGTAGACTTTATTGGTCACGTGTCCTCTCGGGTTAACTAGTGCCATGGCCTATAGCAACCCCCATTCCTGTGGCCGGCACCCTGACGCCCCATCCTGTAGGGGTCGGCACTGCACGCAGAGCGTGGTGCCATCCAGCACTGCCAGTCAACGCTCACTGAGCCCCTCTAGGGCCGGAACTGCACCCACCTATACATGGTGCGCTACGTAACATGAATAGGAATAGTCCTGGTGGACTTCCAACCAACGTGAAAGTTGGCCAGAGGGCTGTTGAATACGCAACGCGTACTGTAGCGCTGTGGTCAGAGCGCACTTAAAAGCATCCACCATACAAATAGGGGCGATACTGTTGCACAAAACACGATAGCTAACAGTTACCCCGGCATGTGGCACAATACCCTGCTTCCATATGTGACAACACTCGACGCCATTGACAACTTGAGACAGAACTGCTCCAATTCTGGTGTTACTAGCATCTGTATCAAGGACAAGCGGCAAGGAAAAGTTGGGAGGGGCATTCACCAAGCCATCCCGGAGCACAACGATAGCGGCCTCCTCCCCCCAAACGAATTTCTGATCCTTTGCTGTTAAGGCGTGGAGAGGTTTAGCGACAAAGGGTGGTAATAGGACTCAAATCCTATGAAACTGCGCACCCCCGCCCCCCCCCCCCCCCCCACTAACGTGGGGGTCAGGCAAGTGCGAACACACGCGGTTTTGTCTGGGTCTGTCGCAATACCCGATTTTTGCCAACTGGCCAAGATATCGAACCGATTTTTGGAGGTGACACTTCTGTGGTTTGAATTTTTGGTTGGCTGCATGCATTTTAAGAAAGACGGCACGTAACTGTTCAAGGTGTTCATCAAACGTATGGCTGAAAGTGATAACATCGTCGAGATATATCGGGCACGAGTCCCACTGGGGACCAGCTAGAGCCAGTTCCATCAACCGCTGGAACGTAGCTGGCGTGGAATGAAGACGTCGGAAGCCGATTCAATGCGAACAAGCCTTGTGGTGTACGAAAGGCTGTTTTGGGCTTGGAGGCTCCGTCTAGTGGCAACTACCCAAACCTGGATAGGAGGTCAACGGTGGAAAAGAACCGTGCTCCTGCTAGAGCATCCAGAGTCGTCCATCTGAGGTAGAGGCTACGCATTGGCAACAGATCTAATAAGCTTACGGAAGTCAACACAAGCGCAAGCTACCATCCATTTAAACAAGAACAACAGGGGCTCCCCATGGGCTGGTAGATGGTGAAATAATATCCACAGCTAACATTTCGTCAACCGCCAGCCATACGTGATCTTGTTCCGTAGGGCTCGGCCGGTAAGGATTTTTCCGGATGGGAGCGGCATCACCTGTATCGATGTGATGACTCAAAAGTGTAGTGCAGCTGTTGTCAAATTTGTCCTTACTAAAGGCATCCTAGAATTCGTGCAGAATCGTCCTCAAT